AATAAACTGACCACAGATGTCTGGCTTGACATTTAGACACTCAATTTTATTCCATTGGTCAATATGCCTTTTCTGACATAAGTATCACATTTTTCCAATTGCTGTAGCTTTATAGTACGTTTCAAAATAAAAAAGGAAGACTCCTCCAACTTTGCTCTTCTTTTTCAAAATTGTTTTGGCTATTTGTGGCCCCCTGTAATTCTATGTGAATTTGAGGATCTGCTTTCCCAGTTTTGCAAAAAAAGGCTTCGAATATTATCAGGGATTGTGGTGAAACTGCAGATTGCTTTGAGTAGTAATGTTATATTCTTATTTCTATTGTTTTGAGATAGGATCTCACTCTGTCAGCCAGGCTGCAGTGTAGTGGTACGGTCACGACTCACTGCAACCTCAACTTCTCTGGGGTCAGGTGATCCTCCCACCTCAGCCCCCCAAGTAGCTGGGACTACAGGTGTGTGCCATGATGCCCAACTAATTTTTCTATTTTTTTCTGTAGAGACAAGAGTTTTGCCATGTTGTCCAGGCTGATCTCAAACTCCTGGTTCAAGCAATCCCTCTGTCTCAGCCTCCCAAAATGCTGAGGTTATAAGCATGAGCCAATATGTCTGGCCAAAATGTTAACAATATTAACCTTCCTACCTGAGAAAATGACATTATTTAGACGTTCTTTAATTTCCTTGGCAATGTTTTATAGTTTTCACTGTACAAGTCTTTCAGGTCCTTTGTTAAATTTGTTTTTTTGGATGGTATTGTAAATCGAATTGGTTTCTTAATTTTGAGATTCTTCATCATTAGAAACACAACTGATTTTTGTGTGTTGATCTTGTACCCTGCAATTTTTCTTAAATTCATTAGCTTGAATAGCTTTCTATGGATTCTTTGGGATTTTCTTTTTCTTTCTCTTTTTTTTTTTTTCATGCCAGTCAGAATGGCTATTATTAACAAGTCAAAAAACAGATGCTGGCAAGGTTCCAGAGAAAAAGGAATGCTTTTACACACATATGTTCATTGCAGCATTATTCACAATAGCAAAGACATGGAATCAACCTAAATGCCCATCAATTATAGACTGGATAAAGAAAATGTGGTACATAAACACCACAGAATACTATGCAGCCATAAAAAGGAACAAGACCATGTACTTTGCAAGGACATATATGGAGTTGGAAGCCATTATCCTCAGCAAACTAACACAGAAACAAAAAACCAAACACCACATGTTCTCGTAAATGGGAGCTTAATGATGAGAACACATGGAAACATGGTTCTCATCATTAAGATAGGAACAACACACACTGGGGCCTGTCCGAGGAAACAGGGAGGGGAGGGAGAATATCAGGAAGAATAGCTAATGGATGCTGGGATTAATGGGATTTTCTATATATAGGATAATGTCATGTGTTAATTAGAGATTGATCGTCTTACTTCTTTGTTTCCAATTTTGATGCCTTCTCTTTCTTTTCTTGCTCTGGCTAGAACTTCCAGTAAAATGGTAAACAGGAGTGGTGAAAGTGGGAAAGTATGTCTTGTTCCTGATGTTAGGGGGAAAGCTTTCAGCCTGTTGCCAATCAATCTACTATTTGTGGGATTTTCATAAATGCCCTTAATCATGTTGAGGAAATCTCATCTCTTCTTAGTTTTATGAGGTCATTCATTCTTTCTTTGAATCAGGAACGGGTGATGGATTTTGTCAAATGCCTTTTCTATGTCAAGTGAGATGACCATGTGATTTCCCCCTCCTTAATGTGATGTATTACACTGATTTGCTTATGTGAAACCAACCTTGCATTTCTGGAATAAACTCCACTTAGTCATGGTGTATAATGCTACTGAATTTTGTTTGCCAGTATTTTGTTAAGGATGTATGGATCTTATTTATAAAGGTTATTTGCAATTTTCTTTTCTTGTGATGTCTTTTTCTGGCTTTGCCATTAAGGTAATGTTAGCCTCAGAGAATAAGTTAGGAAATGTTGCCATCTATTCTATTTTTTGAAAATTTGAGAAGGATTGGTGTTTGTTCTTCAGTTATGTAGAATTCACCAGTGTAGCCTTTCTTTGGAGGTTTTCGGTTACTTGATCCAATCTCCTTATTGTTACAGCTCTATTGAGATTTTCTATTTCTTTTTGAGTCCGTTTATGTAATTTGTTTCTAGGGATTTTTCCTTTTCATCTAGGTTAATTTGTTGGCACACAATTATTCATAGTATTCTTTCATAATCTTATTTCTTTATGATTAGTAGTAACATCCCCACTTTAATTTCTGATTTTAGTCATTTGTGTTTTCTTTCTTGCTTCCTCAGTCTAGCTGGCTTATCAATTTTGTTGATTTTTATCAAAGAGCAACTTTTGGTCTGGTTTCACAAAATCTATTTTTTTTCCTACTCTATTTCATCTGCACTCTAATCTTCATTATTTTCTTCTTCTGCTAGCTTTGGGTTTAGTTTGCTCTTCTTTTTCTAGTTTCTCATGGCATAAAGTAAGAATATTGATTTGAGATCTCTTTTAATGTAGATATTCACAGTTATACATTTTCCTTACCTTTGCTGCATCTCGTAAGTTTTGGTATACTATATTTTTGTTTTCACTTGTCTAAGTAGTACCTAATTTCCCTTGTGTTTTTCTTTGACGCATTGAGGTCTCGTTTTGTTTTTTTTTGTTTCTGAGACGGAATCTCACACTGTTGCCCAGCCTGGAATGCAGTGGTATGATCTTGGCTCACTACAACCTCCGCCTCCCAGGTTCACATGATTCTCATGCTTCAATCACCCGAGTAGCTGCGATTTATTGAGACATATTATATGGTGTAACATATGGTCTATCCTGGAGAATTTTCCATGTACACTTGAGAAGAACGTGTATTCTTCCGTGGTTGGGTGGATTGTTCTATGTGTCTGCTACGTTAAGTTGGTTTACAGTGTGGTTCAAGTTATCTGTTTCCTTCTTGATCTTCTATCTACAAGTTCTATCCAATATTAAAAGTAGTGTACTGATTTATCCATCTATTGTTGTAGAACTGTTTCTATCTTCAATTCTGTCAGTTTGCCTTGTATATTTTGGGGCTCTGTTGATTGGTATATATGCTTATAATTGCTATATATTTTGATAAATTGATCCTTTTATCAATATGACATGGTTTTAGTCTCTTGTAGCAATGTTTGACTTAAAGTCTATTTAGTCTGACATTAGGATAACCACCTCAGTCTCCTTTGGTTACTATCAGCACATAATATTTTTTTCCACCTTTCATTTTACTCTATATCTGCCTCTGTATCTAAAGTGAATCTCTTATACACAGCATATAGTTGGGTCATGTTTATTTTAATCAATTTTTACAATTTGCCTTTTGCTCAGAGTTTAATTTACATTTTAAAGTAACTACTGATAAAAACTTACTTCTGATTTTGCTATTTACCATATGTCATATACATTTTTTGTCCCGTCTTTACTCTATTAGTGCCTGCTTGTATGTTTGCTTCTTGTAGAGAACTGTTTCAATTCCCTCCTCATTTTCTTTTGTGTATATTTAGGTATCTTATTTGTGGTTACTATGGGGATGACATTTACACCTATCTCTACAACCATCTAGTTCGAAATGATACCAACTTAACTTCAGTAGTACATAAAAACTTTCCTCCTATACTGGTTCCATCTCCCTGCTTTTATGTTGTAACAAATTATATCTTTATACATTGTATGTCCAATAATAGATATGTAATTAAATTATTTTTCATTCATTTAAGTCCTGTAGGGAATAAAAAGAGTTATAAACTAAAATTACAATAGCACTAGCTTTTATATTCGCCCAATTATTTAATGAAAATCTTTATTTATTCATACAGCTTTGAGTTTTATTTTATTCTGAATGATTCCCCTTAGCATTTTTTTGTAGGGCAGGTCTAGTGGTAATGAACTCCCTCAGTTTTTATCTGGGAATGCCTTAATTTCTCCATTTTTGAATGACAGTTTTGCCAGATACAGAATTCTTGATTGACAAGTTTTTTTCTTCTAGCACTTTAAATATGTCATCTCATTGCCTTCTGTCCTCCAAGGTTTCTATGAGAAATCAGTTAAACCTACAGAAGATCCCCAGTGTATGTGATACATTGCTTTTCTCTCTGGTTTTAAGACTGTCTTTGGCTTTTGACAGTCTGTCGTGGTGTAGGTCTCTCTCAGATCATCCTAGTTGGAGTTGGAGTTAGTTGACCTTTGATTCTGTAGATTTATATCTTTCACCAAATTTGGGAATGTAGGGGTTTTCTTTCCTCAAATATTCCTCCTCTGTCTTCTCTTTGTGGAACTCTAATAATGCAACGATAACCCACTTGATGGTTTCCCACAGGTGCTTTAGGCTCTCTGTTCATGCCACTTCATTTTTTCTCCTCCTCAGACTAGGTAATTTCAATGGTCTTATCTCTAAGTTTCCTGATCCTGTCTTATGCTTGTTTATATCTGCTTTTGAATATCTCTAGTGAATTTTCATTTTTATTACACTTTTCAGCTCCAGAATTTGTTTGGCTTCTTTGTATAATGTGTCTTTATTTATTTTCTCAGAGATGAGTGCCTGTGTAAGTCCTTCAGGTAGTATCCTGACTGGTTAGAACAGACATACAGAATTATGTATGAGGTCCGCTCTGCTCCTTCTGGAACTAGGGACTTACACTGGCACTGCAGTGCCCTTCAAGACCGCTACTGCACTGGGATGGACCTGGGGCAAGTGCAGGTAAAATGCCACAAAGCTTTCCTCTCTTTGCCCTTTCTTGATCCAGTGTTCACTTGGTTGCTGAACACCTCTGGCTGTTTTCAGAGTTCTGGCAAATTGGGTTGACAGTTTTTGCTTGTTTTCTGATGTTTCCCTGGGGTAACAAGAGTTCAGAGCTGTCTATTTTGCTCACTCAAAATTTTGAATTTTGAAACCACATTTTAAATGTTGGTTGCTATAGATACTAAAGATTTAACAAATTTATATACCTAGTGTATCTAGTTACTTTTTTATTACATACCATTGGAGTACGATGTTTCACTTTGGTCTGAATAACACCATCTTTTTCAAACTGTATCATATCATTAAGTGGGTCCCATGGTCGGGTACTAAATAAATGAAAAAAAAAAAATACCAGTTGCTTAATAACCAAACAAAAAGTTTAAAACTTTCTATTCCATGATTTAATTTTATTAATAATTATATACACAGTTCTAATATTGAGATTTCTCCATATCTAATCTTCTGATCGTAACTACTAGTCTAGAGTTAAGCTTATAATAAACACAACATCAAGTTTAAAAATCTCACACTAATATACATGGTTTAAATAATTAAAAACTACTCCAGCAACAAATATTCTAAAGGCAACAAGTCATGCTAATATACTGTTTGAAATAAACTATTTTAAATTACTTACTCCGCAAACTTATAATGCCATTCTCCTGTGAGTGAATCAAGTTCAAATAATCTGCAAGACCATTCTTCATTTTTTGTTTTCCGATCTCTGGCAGCCTGCCTTTGAGCTTCTTCCAAAACATACTTCTCTTGGGTAGCTTCGGTTTGGTCTTTGGCATTTATGGCTCGAGTTACCCGCTGCCAGAGTCTAATATATGTGCAAAAATAGTATTAAAAATGAAACCAAAAATAGAATTTATATAGAATAGACTTCAATCCCCTTGAGAGAAAATAACATTCACATGGATTTTTGGCTTTGACAATACGTATTCTCATATGCTTAGAAATGAGTCAAGATATAAATCCAATCCCTCGAGTAGAGAGATCTATTCATAAGTGTAGACTAATTTTTTTTACTTGGCAAGAGGAACTTATTACATGGACTCTTAAACTCATGATAGTAAGTGTTGCTGACTCAAGATGATAGGAACGTAATAAAAGTAAAGCTCAGGGATCTATACTTCTAGCAAGTGTTCCAGATGATTCATACACTGTTTAAGATCCGCTGGCTTCATAAAGATCCATTACTGTAATGCAGTGCTTCTCAACTTTGGATCCATAAATTATCATAGAATTTTTATAATCAGAATCTCTGGGGTCAGGCCCAAGTATTGATATTTTTTAATGTTTCCCCAAAATATTTTAATGTATTGCTAGTGTTGAGAACAACTACTTTAACAGAAAAGACTATTGAGGTAAAATGATACTAGTTCTTTCTTCTGTTAAAAAAAGGTATATCTGGCCGGATGCGGTGGCTCAAGCCTGTAATCCCAGCACTTTGAGCGGCCGAGGCGGGTGGATCACGAGGTCAAGAGATCGAGACCATCCTGGTCAACATGGTGAAACCCCGTCTCTACTAAAAATACAAAAAATTAGCTGGGCATGGTGGCGTGTGCCTGTAAACCCAGCTACTCAGGAGGCTGAGGCAGGAGAATTGCCTGAACCCAGGAGGCGGAGGTTGTGGTGAGCCGAGATCGCGCCATTACACTCCAGCCTGGGTAACAAGAGCGAAACTCCGTCTCAAAAAAAAAAAAATAAATAAAAATAAAAATAAAAATAAAAAAAGGTATATCTATATCTCACCCATCTGGGAAGGCAATAAAGCCAGCCAGAAGAAAAGGCTTTGAGATCAGATAGACCTGAGTCCTAGATCTGCCACTTCTTAGTTGGTGCACTTAAAGATATTTATCGTAAGTCTCATTTCCTCATCTTTAAATATGCTGAATTATATGCCCTCAAAAATTATCATATGCCTTGGCAAAGCGTATCTCTGGATAAACAATATCATGTGGTTATGACTGAAGCAGAATTTTAGAACTGGTATGTATATATTCTTCCATCTTTGACAACCTCAATTTTGAGTGTAGAAGAGAAGGCACACACATACTCGAATTCCCATGCAAGAGAATGATGTGGGAATGATACATATGTGGGATGACTAAGTTGCATAATGTGTGTTAAGTGTCTAGCAAAGTATCTTTTATACAGAAGTCTCTTTCTCTTAACACAAAGATATAATAACAATAAAATCGGAAATGTGTATATAATATTTTTGATTCAAAAATATAAGTAATCTAGCAAGAATTTCATGACTTAAGAACAGAAATGATAGCCTTAATTATTACCCAACTAATAAGTCCTTTAGAATCAGTACATCCAGTGTCTTTATTTTTGTCTCAGAGAATGGAACAGAAGTAGATTCTGTACCACTCCCTTTACCTAGAGTTCTAATGCCTAAACCAGGTTAGAAAATAGTTGCCAGGTACTAACTGAGAGTCACTAATTAGTCCTGTAATTTTATTGCAACAAAAATGTTCTTTTCTCTTTTTTTGTTTAAGGTACTGGAGCAGCTGAGAAAGAAAAAAATGAGAAGTTATAGTTTTGAGCTACAGAAAAGCAAGATGATTTGTATTATATTTATTTGACATTCACATACACAGAAACAGAATACTGTCACATTCCACAAATGATAAACTATTTTGCTGAATTAAGATATGACAGAAGAAAGGTAACAAAATGACCATATCATTAAGGAACTGAAAAACTACTCTCTGATCCTTATGAAGTTAGCTGAAAAACAGAATACTTACTTCTCTGATTCAAAATCTCCCTGTTCTTCAAATTTTACAGTGTGCCTTATTAATCTCCATTGCTTAATATCGGGTGTTGGATTCCAGAAAACCTCTAAATTATCAGTCTTTTTATCAGTAATAAAAACTTCACTATCCTATATGTAAAGAAATTAAAAATCAATTTAGAGAATTATATTTAGAAGGCAACCGTATACTACAGCAATATGATGGTGATAATTTCTTCTGGTTACTTAATCCTCCAGTTAAACATATTTTTAAAACAAATATAAATAGAACTTTTCCAAAAGCCCCAAGTTTCTTATAATTTTTATGAAAACATTAAGATCAAATATGAAATACTAGTCAATATAAATAATTTGGTTGACTATCCAGTTTGTGCAATTTCACAAGTTTTACTTAATATATTTCAATCATTACATGCAAAACCTCAATAAGCATCTCCAAACTATCAAAAGTAGAACACAATATTTGTTATAACTAAAATGAAATGCTGTTGACTATCCATGGATTCAATACACACATCCACATAAATACGCACACACACACACACCCTGAAAGAGCCTTTCCTAGCATTAAAAATTTGAGGTCTATCTCTATCGAATAATCTATCTAAGACAGGGTCTTGCTCTCTTGCCCAGGCTGAAGTGGTGCTATCTACCTTATCTATCTATTTTACCTATCTAATCTATCTACTTGTCTATTTATCTTTTTTCTGTCATCTCTATCTTATCTATCTATCTATCTATCTATCTATCTATCTATCTATCTATCTATCTGTCTGTCTGTCTGAGAAAGGGTCTTGCTCTCTCACCCACGCTGGAGTGCAGTAGCACAAGCATGGGTCATTACAGCTTCCACCTCCCAGGCTCAAGCAATCTTCCTGCCTCAGCTACCTGAGTAATCAGGACAGGCATGTATCACCATGCCCAGCTAATTTTTTTTTTTTTTTAAATTTTTAGTAGAGAAGAGGTCTCGTTATGTCACCCAGGATGATCCTCCTGCTTCAGCTTCCCAAAGTGCTGGAATTATAGTAGTGAGCCACCCCACCAAGCCAAAAATTTTAGATTTTTAAAATGACTGCTGTTTCATGTTTTTTCCAGAAGATGTTCAGATTTAAGGCAATTAATTTTTTTTCAGAGTGTATGTGGCCACTTAGTGGAGTCCCTAAATATAGTTTCACTTTCTCATATTTCTCAACATTTTCTGCTTATTGTAAGCAGAAAGGAGCATATACCCAGTGCTCACAGTGAGGGCATATCCATGCAGTGCCACGATTCTTTTTATTCATTTAAGCTGCTCTTAACAAAATTACATAAATTTTAATCTAGGTTAGCAAAGAAGTAAATAAAAGCCATTGCTCTCATACACCACTATATCCTTTCCATGTTCCACTGAAAGGAATATAACTCTAATTGGAACTATGCCTCTTTCTTCTATGTGAGAGGCAGTAGAGTGCTATGCATAAAAGCACAGCCCTGGAGCCCTGGCTTTAATTCCTGTTCCACCACCTACTTTGAGCAAATTATGTGAACTCTCTGTGCCTCAGTGTCTGTCCTCTTCTGTAAAATGGAAACAACAATAAACAATAATAAAATGGGCATGGCACCTATAAACTCACCTCATAGGGTTATATATTATAAATATTAAATGAGTTACAATGAGTAACATTCTTAAATAAGGCATTACATAATAAGTCATATTTAAGTATTAGCTATTTCTACTGATTTTAAAGTTTTGGAAAGAGAAAATATTACATAAAATTAATTACTGTTGATAACAAACCAACACCAAAAACCCGCTATTATAAGCTGAAGCTTATGTTAAATAGTAATGTTTTTAGCAATCAAGTAAGTTTTAAATTTTAAATGTGATTGTTATTTTTTTCCCACAGAATAAAATTCTTTTTGTAAAGCTCATATATAAAATACTTACCCAATGTCCTTCCAAAGTAGCTAGGACTTCTTTTCCCAATTTAAGTCTTCCTGATATTTGATTAACACAGTCGCTACTCCCTAGGAATGGCTTTTAAGGGAGAAAATGTTAAACACTTAACTTTTCAGTTATATTTACATCTAATGTAAAACCAAACAAAAAAACAAAAATCACTTGTATAGTTATAGTGCTCTTGAATGCACAAGCAGTAAAAAATACTAACTCAAATTTTAATTAGAAATGTTTAATAAGACATCTGAATTGCTGCTATGGAAAAGAATAGGTTAAAAACAAGCAGACTATATTAAATCAAACTAAACATATTAAGAAAAATGACACTGATACAACTGACTCATGTCTCGTGTACTCTCAAATCCTGCATCCTCATCTGTCAAGGCAGTGCCCTATCAATGTGACATTATCTTAAACAATACCAACTCAGTAAACCTAAGGGAATTAACGATCTAGTGAAATATGTGACACTCCTTCCTTAAAAAAAAAAAAAAGGAAAATACATAGCTAAAAAAAGCTTCCAAAAAATAAAACTGGAAGGAATATATTTTGAGTTACTATAATGCCTTACTGATGTCTGTCTTTGGAGACAAAATTTTGATGCTCCAATGTAATAAAGGCATCATCTATACTTAAGAACTCATTCAACATCATCTCCAAACATTATCATCACCACACAAGCAAAAATTTGCCAAGGGGAAAGAAAAATAAAATAAAAGGCATTGCATCAAATAATATTTAAGAAGTCTTTTTTATTAGAGCAAAATTGCTTATCAGCTGGCTATCACCATAGGAGCAATTTAGTAGTAAATACCACATACTTCACAGAAATTTTTTTTTTTTTTTTTTGAGATGGAGTCTCGTTCTGTTGCCAAGTTAGAGTGCAATGGTGCAATCTTGGCTCACTGCAACCTCTGCCTCCCAGGTTCAAGTGATTCTCCTGCTTCAGCCTCCCGAGTAGCTGGGACTACAGGCATGAGCCACCACGTCTAGCTAATTTTTGTATTTTTAGGAGAGACGGAGTTTCACCATGTTGGCCAGACTGGTCTCGATCTCTTGACCTCATGATCCAAACGCCTTGGCCTCCCAAAGTGCTGGGATTACAGGCGTGAAGCATCATGCCCAGTCCAGAAATATTTTTATCTGAACATAATATACTATTGTTTAGGAACAATTAATTCACATTAGGATCTCAAATTTCCCTTTCTTTCTGAGGCAGACAAAATGTTCCAAAGATGGCCTTGACAATATGTACCCTCTCTTCTCCAGCCCACATGCTCTTCCTCAAGGCGATTTTGCCACTTTCTCAATGAGAAGTGGAGTCTATATTTCTTCTCCTTGAATTTGGGTGGTCTTACAACTTTCCAAATAATAGAAGACAGTGGAAGTGATATAATTTGGCTTCTCAGGCTAGGTCATGGAAAGCAAATGCAGCTTCTGCCTGGCTCACTAGGGCACTTGCACTTGGAAACCCTACACTACCAAGTAAGAAGTCTACTTTGAGGCTGTCACATGGAAAGGCCATGTATACAGGTGCTCAGATTAGCAGTCCTAGTCCTTCAGTCACCCTAGACCAGGTATCAGATATGTAAATGATAAGCCTTCAGGTGATTCCAGTCCCGAACTGTCAAGTCACCTATCACCTACAAAGTCTTTCTGAGACCCCAAATAACAGGAAGTAGAGACAAGCCATCCCCAATATGCCCTGTCCAAATTTTTGACCCACAGAACTCATGGGGAACAGCACACAGCTATTTTTAAGTCTGTGAGTTTTAGAGTAATTTGTTACATAGAAACAGTGACTAATACAACTGTGCCTTAGTTTACACAGCTAGACTGCCACATGATACATAGCTTCTGGCATTTGGTAAAACAATACTTTAATTTACTAGGAAATTTCTATCCAATCACTTCTTAAATCTCATTTTCTATATAATGCCCACAGTTTTATTAATAAAAATGAAAAACAAAAAATGATGTCTTTGTGTTAATTTGAATTTTCCAAGGCTGCTATCTTAGACTATCCAAAGATAGTCAGCCAGGTTGGCCCTTATTCTTTAGATGCACTTGTCCTTGACCTGACATAATTGTGTTCTTAACATTTAGTTCCTAATTAGGAAATGCATGGTGCCCTTTATTCAATATTTATTGTACAACTCTCCTTTAATTGGGTGATACATATTATATTCTCTACTAACCTTTAGTTTAAATTCAAGTATTGCACTATATCCAGTTTTTTGACATGTAATATTGACTGTTCCACCAAGCTCCAGTGTCATTGTGCCATAAAGAATTCCTAAAGGAGAGAGATTTGACAAAAAATTGAAGACAGTCTAGTATATGGCTCATAATAAACAGTTTAGTAATCTAATCTCCTTTTAAAAGAAACATAGTTCAAGGTCACTCTGTTCCAATCAAATGAAAATCTGTAATATAGACATAAAGTTGGTTCCATACGATATAAATAGATAACAGCTAATTCACATTATATGCAGATTCCATATTTGTAACCTCACCTAATCAATAAAATATCAATATCCACAGCACTTCTGTAGTCATCTGGAGACATGTGCAGAGTAGAGATAAATCTGAATCACCCGATGCACACATTCCAAGCTGAGGCTGAGCAAGGCAACACTCTTTATTGTTTCAGTGCCCACATTGTTTTAAAAAAAAAAAGTGTCCTTTTGCAGTGTATTTAATACCATATTTTTCACATTTTTGTACTTTTCGTTGGTGGTTTTGCTGTTTAAAATGGACCCACATGTAGTGTTGCAGTGCTGTCTAGTGTTCCTAAGTGTAAGAAGGCTGTAATGTAACTTACAGGGAAAATGTATCTTAAAAGCTATGTTTAGGCATGAGCTTTAGTTCTGTTGGTTGACAGTTTAATGTTAATGAATCAATAATATGTAATTAATGTTATAATTAAATCAGGTTTTTTTAAATAGAAGTACATATAAACCAAGCTTATGTACCTGATTGATTGGTTGATGAAAATGCTAGGACAAGAGGCTCATAGAAACCTAATCTCATACTCCCCTAGGAACAATGGCTCAGTATTTGCTAACTCAGTGGTGACTTTATACAACATAACTACTGCAAATAAGAAGAATCAAATGCATAACCAAAGCAAACAAAAAACTACAAAATGCCGGGCGCGGTGGCTCAAGCCTGTAATCCCAGCACTTTGGGAGGCCGAGGTGGGTGGATCACTAGGTCGAGATCGAGACCATCCTGGTCAACATGGTGAAACCCCGTCTCTACTAAAAATACAAAACATTATCTGGGCATGGTGGCGCGTGCCTGTAATCCCAGCTACTCACGAGGTTGAGGCAGGAGAATTGCCTGAACCCAGGAGGCAGAGGTTGCGGTGAGCCGAGATCGCACCACTGCACTCCAGCCTGGGTAACAAGAGCGAAACTCCATCTCAAAAAAAAAAAAAAAAAAAAACTACAAAGTAAGTTTGATGGTTAAAAGCTGGGGAAACTCTGGGTTTAACAAAGCTAAACAGGTTGTGTATGTATCTCCTGTTGGTCTAAAATGTTAAGGCAGCCTTTTTATTCTTTTTTTACTTTTTTTTTTTTTTTTTGAGATGGAGTCTCACTCTGTCACCCAGGCTGGAGTGCAGTGGCGTGATCCTGGCTCACTGTAGCCTCCACCTCAAGGGTCCAAGCAATTCTCCTGCCTTAACCTTCTGAGTAGGTGAGACTACAGGCACACACCACCATGTCTGGCTAATTTTGTAACTTTAGTAGAGACGGGGCTTCACCATGTTGGTCAGGATGGTCTTCATCTCCTGACCTCATGATCCACCAACTGGGCCTCCCAAAGTGCTGGAATTACCACACCTAGCCTAAGGCAGCCTTTAATAGGCAATGTACAATGTTATCTTTTGAGAGGGGAACAGACTATACAATGTTTCTCATACTTATCTGGCTATGGAACTCTTATTTTATAAAACAATTTGTGAGACTAGTGACTTGTGGGAACATACCTTAGAAAACACACATGGTGAAACATCTTATTAAAACAATCATTTCATATGCTCATTCACAAACAGTTATAACTTCTTTCTTTTTCCATGTAATAAAAATATTGCCATAAAAAATTTTCCCTATTGTGAGCTAAGTAGATCATGGATATTTACATGGAATATAATTTTCTTTTTTCTTTTTCTTTTTTTTGAGCCGAAGTCTCACTCTTGTTGCCAGGCTGGAGCGCAATGGTGGAATCTCAGCTCACTGCAACCTTTACCTCTTGGGTTCAAGTGATTCTCCTGCCTCAGCCTCCTGAGTAGCTGGGACTGCAGGCATGCACCACCTTGTCTGGCTAATTTTATATTTTTAGTAGAGACAGGGTTTCTCCATGCTGCTCAGGCTAGTCTCGACCTCCCAACCTCAGGTGGTCCACTTATCTCGCCACCTAAAGTGCTGGGATTACAGGCGTGAACCACTGTGCCTGGCCTATTTGTTCTAAATGATAGAAAATTTAAAAATATGTGTTCCTTCTCTGTACTAGCATGCTTTAAAAAAAATTTTGTTCTTATCAATTCATAATTAAAGATATTTCACTTCATGCTTACTTACTTCAAGTATACTTGAAGCTCTAAGAATAATCTAGACAGAAGCCAGAAATTAGCTTCTTGTATATGCTGGGTTGACCTTGTATAAGACTCAACCCTCCCAAGTTTCTCATCTGTGAAATAAGGTCATATCAAAATAATCTTTTTTTAAATTATACTTTAAGTTCTGGGATACATGTACAGAATATGCAGGTTTGTTACATAGGTATATATGTGCCATGGTGGTTTGCTGCACCCATCAACCCATCATCCATATTAGGTATTTCTCCTAATGCTATTTCTCCCCTTATCTCCCACTCCCTAACAGGTCCTGGAGTGTGATGCTCCCCTCCCTGTGTCCATGTGTTTACACTGTTCAACTCCCACTTATGAGTGAGAACATGTGGTATTTGGTTTTCTGTTGCTGTGTTAGTTTGTTGAGAATGATGGTTTCCAGCTTGATCCATGTACCTGCCAAAGACATGGACTCATTCTTTTTTATGGCTGCATAGTATTCCATGGTGTATATGTACCATATTTTCCTTATCCAGTCTATCACTGGTGGGCATTCGGGTTGGTTCCAAGTCTTTGCTATTGAGAATAGTGCTGCAATAAACATACGTGTGCATGTATCTTTATAGAATGATCTATAATCCTTTGAGTATACACCTAGTAATGGGATTGCTGAGTCAAATAGTATTTCTAGTTCTAGATCCTTAAGGAATTGCCACACTGTTTTCCACAGTGGTTGAACTAATTTACCCTCCCACCAACAATGTAAAAGTGCTCCTATTTCTCTACATCAGCATCTGTTGTTTCCTTACTTTTTTAATGATCCCCATTCTAACTGGAGTGAGATGATATCTCACTGTGGTTTTGATTTGCATTTATCTAATGACCAGTGATGATAAGCTCTTTTTCATATGTTTGTTGGCCACATAAATGTCTTCTTGGGAGAAGTGTCCGTTCATATTCTTTGCCCATTTTTCCTATCAACTAATTTCTATGTGTTCATAAATCAGTTCCCAAAATAGAGGATAATTACCAAAAAAGTTGTTTTAAAGATTTTAAGAAACTGGTTGGAAGGAAAGGTACACATCATGACCACACTAAACTGATGCAAAATAGCTGAAAGTTCAATGCAGAGGTAAACTGCCTGGGTTCAGATCCTGACTTGCCACATCTTAGCTGTGTGATCTCAGGCATATTAACCTCTTTGTGCTTCATTTTTCCTCTTCCATAAAAAAGGAATCATAATACTTTATTTTATAGGAGCTGCTGAAATGATTAAATAACTGCATTAAATAGTTGGGTGCCTAGCGTGTTGTAATGTAAATGAAAATTATTATGTAATACTCTTATCTATATTTTAAATAATGGGGTAAAAAGCATAATGCATTAAGAAATCGCCAAATTAAAGTGGGAAAAATCTTTAAAACAACTTGGTACACTAAAAAATAGTAAATTAAAATTTTTAAATCATCTTTAAGGACTCTGAAATAATAGTTTGGTTAAATTTGAAAATTTGCACATCAGGCAAATGTAAAGAAATTCCATTATGATAAATCAGTCTCTGCTGACAAAAGTATATATCATAAAAAGGTCCATTACAGGTGAATTAATTCACCACAGAAATATTCAGCAAATGACAGCAATAATCTTAAATATCTGTAAATCAAGGATGCTTTCAAACAAAATGTAAGTCTGACTCTATCAATCACAAAGCATAACAAATCACAGCTACATACATTTACTTAAAAGGAAAGCTTAATATCTAACTCAAGGATAGAAAATACTTACCTTTACAATGAGCATATGGCATTGTCATTACATAATCTTCACCTCTATTCAGGAAAGTTAACCGTGCTTCTCCCTCTAATATTGCAGATAATGAGTTTCCTGAAATGAAATATTGTTTATTAGATTTCACAAAATGTATTCAACCAATTTAAAACAAACAAGATATATTTAGAACACCTACCAAACATCTACAGTGGAAAGTCTTAGAAATGTCTCAATCTCAGTGTGCCAAACGTGTATTCGTTACCTTATATCCAAAATATATTTCATCCACATTCTCGGTTTTACAAAATGATTACTTTTAGAAGATACACTTATGTTCTTTCTGTTTGTTTGTTTATTTTTGAGATGGAGTCTCTGTCACTCTGTTGCCCAGGCTGGAGCGCAGTGGAGTGCTCTTTCACCTCCTAGGTTCAAGCAATTCTGTCTTAGCCTCCCGAGTAGCTGGGATTAAAGGCATGCACCACCAAGTGCAGCTAATTTTTGTACTTTTAGTATAGACAGGGTTTCTCCAAGTTGGGAAGGCTGGTTTTGAACTCCTGACCTTGGATGATCTGCCCACCTTGGCCTCCCAAAGTGTTGGGATTACAGGAATGAGCCACCACACCCAGCCTATTTTTTGAAAGTTATAAGAAAGTAAGAAAACCTGTAGAATACTTAATATTAATAAAACACTGTTTCACTGTATAGCCTAATTTTCTTTTTTGAATAAAACCATTATTTTTTAGCTGTAAGTTATATTACTTATAAATCTCAAGCTTTAAATGCTTATAATTGATATAATAATCGTATAGACAATTTAGAAAAATAAAAAAATTTATAAAGCACCAAAATGCAGTTGACGACAAAAATATTATGGTAATGTCTTCTAAGTTTTCTCCTGTATGCATTTTCTCTCCTTATGTTCTCAGCTTTACTGAAGCATAAATTTACATATAGTAACTGACCCATTTTAAGTTTGAAATTTGAGTTTTTGAAATTGCAGAGTCATATAACCACCACCACTATCAAGATATAGAACTTCCCATTATCCCCAAAAAGTCCCTCCTTGCTCCTGAGCAGTCAATCCTTTCTCTCAGCCCCAGGACACTACTGGTGCATTTTCAATCACTGGTTTTACCTATTCTAGAATTCTTAACAGATGGCATTACAGAATATGTAATTTGCTGTGTTTTACTTCCTTTAATTAGCACAATGTCTTTCAGGCTCATCCACACTGTTATATCAGAATTCTAGTCCTTTTTATTGCGAGTGAGAATTCTGTAATTGTGATATTTCCATTCTAGTTGATGGTCTTTAAGTTGTGTTCAGTCCTGGATTGTTAGGAATAATGCTGTGTATGCTTAAGAACATTTATGTACAAGTCTATATGTAGACATCTATTTTCATTTTTCATAGGTAAATACCTAGGAACAGAATTTCTGAGTTTATGATAAATATATGTTTAACTCTGGGCAATTATTTCTCCCATGTCAAAAAACATTTGACCATGTGTACAGGTCTACATCTGCACTCTGTTCCATCCCATTAATTTATACACCTATCATTATCTCAATTCCACACTTTATTCATTACTTTAGCTTTATCCTAAAACAGGCAGTAAAAGGCCTATCTTGTTCTTTTTCAAAATTGTTTGGCTGTTTTGGGTCCTTGACTTTTCAACGTAATTTTAGAAACAACTTAGCCAACTCTTCAAAAGAGCCTGCTAAGATTATGATTAGGATAGCACTGAGTCTATGGCTCAATTAAGGGAGTGCTGACATATTTATATATTAAATATCTCAATAAATAAACACAGTATATCTATCAATTTATTTGGGTCTTCTTTAATTTTCCTCAGCAATGTTTTAGTTTTCAGTATACAGGACTTACACATTGTATATTAAATTTATTTTTAAATATGTTATTTGGATACTATTATAATTGGACTTGTTTCTAAATTTCATTCTTAACCAGGCATGGTGATGTGTGCCTGTAATCTGTTACTTAAGAGGCTGAGGTGAGAGGATCCCTTGAGCTCAGGAGTTTGAATCCAGCAAGACAGTAAGACACTGTCGCAAAAAGAAAGAAAATTTCCTCTGCAAGTATTCATTTCTAGTATATAGAAATGCAATTCTATATGCATCTTGAGACCTTTCTAAATTCGTTTATTGGTTGTATGAGCTTTTTTTGTATATTCTTGAAGGTTTTCTATGTAATCTGGTATATAAATAGCTTATCTTCTTCCTTTCCAATCTGTATGCTATTTTCCCTTTAATTTGCCTACTGCATTGCCTAATACAATTTTGTATAGAAGTAATTGAGAGTAAATATCCTTGCTTTGTTCTTGATTTTAGGTAGAAATTATTCAATTTTCACTTTAAAAGTATGAAGTTGGCTATATATTTTTCATAGATGCCTTTAATCTAGTCCTACTTTCTTGAGGACTAAGAAATAAATACGTATTGAATTCTGTCAATCATTTCTCCATATGTATTGAAATCATACTTTCCTTCTGTTATTCTATTAATAGTGTAAATTACATTGTTCATCAGATGATAAACCAACCTTGCTTTCCTCAGATAAACTCCATTTCATCATGATATATTATTCTTCTAATATACTGATCATGACACTTTTATTTATATGTATATGTCCGTATAATAGCCTTCCTATGTTGATTTGTTACTAGTTAAGAATTTTTGCATGTATATTCATAAAGGATACTGATCTGTGGTTTATTTTCTTGTAATCTCTGGTTTGAGGATCAGGATAATCCTGGCCTCATAAAATGATCTGGTAAGTGTTTTTTCCTCTTCTATTTTCTGCCAAAAATTATGTAGAACTGGTATTTCTTCCTTAAATCTTTAGAAGAACTCAAGACATCTGGGCCTGGGGTATATCATCAAAGAAAGATTTTAAATTACCAAATCAATTAAATTTGCTGTAAGGCTATTTTACAATTTTACACCTATTCTTGGGTCAGTTGTGGTAATTTGTGTCTCTTAAGAAATTTGCCCATTTCAAATTGCTGTCTCTTAATTATGTCTATTTTTGCTTCGTAAATTTTGAAGTTCTGTGATTAGGTACATAGGCATTTATGATTATTATGTTACCCTGATGTACTTAACCTCTTTATTTCATTATGAAATGTTCTTTATCTCCACTAACAGTTTTTGTCTTGAAATCTATTTTATTAATATAGTCACTCAACCATACTTGTACTTAATACTTGCACAGTTTAGCTTTTAACTTTTACTTTCCATTTACTTTCTTGTTTATTTTTTCTTTTTTTGAGACAGAGTATCGCTCTTCTTGTCCACGCTGGAGTGCAGTGGCCTGACCTCAGCTCACTGCAACAGCGATTCTCCTGCCTCAGCCTCCTGAGTACCTGGGATTACAGGTGTATGCCACCATGCCCAGCTAATTTTTGTATTTTTACTAGAGACAGGGTTTTTCCATTTTGACCAGGCTGGTATCCAAATCCTGACCTCAGGTGATCCACCTACCTTGGTCTCCCAAAGTGCTGGGATTACAGGCCTGAGCCACCATGCCTGGCCTACTTTCTATTTACTTTCAGCCTATTTGTGTGTGTACATTTAAGGTATGTTGGTCCTTGCTGGTGTATTCAATATGATAATCACTGCCTTTAAATGAGATTATTTGGGCCATTAAGACTGATATAATATTGTTGGGCTTTGGTCTATCATATTGCTATGCGTTTTCTATCTGTCCCCTCTGATTTTTGTTCCTTGACTAGGCTTTCCTGTTTCTTTTATAAATTATTTAAATAATGTTTAGCAGCATTCCTGGCATCTATCTACTGGATCTCACAACTGTGACAACCAAAAATGTCTTCAGACATTGCCAAATGTCTCCTGGGGAGAAAAGCTGTTCCAAATTGAGGACCACTGCTTTAGGGATTATAATATTTATCTTTAAAATGTCACAGCCGGGCACAGTGGCTCAGCATGTAATCCCAGCACTTTGGGAGGCTAAGGCAGGTGGATCACTTGGAGTCAAGAATTCAAGACCAGCCTGACCAACACGGTGAAACTCTGTCTCTAATAAAAATACAAAAATTAGCTGGGTGTGGTGGTGGGCACCTTTAATCCCAGTTATTCGGTAGGCTGAGGCAGGAGAATCGCTTGAACCAGGGAGGCAGAGGTTGCAGTAAGCCAAGATTGTGCCACTGCACTCACTCACAGTTAATCTTTTACCACTTTGTATAGAACAGAAAATTTTGCTGCTTCTAGGTCCATTCCCTTCCAGGCTTTTGTACTATAGTTACATGTATTAAACCTGCATATGTTATAAAACATGTATTAAAAGGAAAAAAAATAAGAAAAAATGTCTTTGAATTTACCCATATGTTTACCAATTCTGAAATCTTAAATTCATTCTGGATTTCATCAAATTATAAAGTAACAGATTGCTCTGATGTACGTAAATTGTACTATAACACAGAAATAAAAAAGTCCACTGATGAAGCAATCCCAGAAAGTGAGCCATGCACCTCATACTCAATAAAAATTTCTGTAAGGGTAGAACACACACTCACAAAAGCCATTTATACTATAGTCAGGGTAGAAGAATGGAGGGATGAAAGGTGAAACAGGGAAGAAATATATAAAATGTGAAACATATACAAACTTAAGGGAAAAAAAAAAAACAAGCAATCGCCCTCTTAAACAGGATTAAAACAACAACAACAAAAACCAAACCAAAATGAACATCAAGAGAAATAAAAGACACCTTGAAGAAATGTAACAACACAAACCAGGTTCCTGATTACAAACTCTTAGACATCCCTGCTGCAGACTTATCTATGGCTCACCACACACTCAGGTAATCAGATGTTGGATTTCTGTTTATTTTTATTTTTTTTAATTTTTATAAATAAAAAATTTTATTTTTTATTTTTTAATTTTTTATCATAATTTTTTTTTTGCTCAAGTTTATAATTCTTTGGTTGAAATTTAATTGTTCTTCTTCATTTAAACATTTTTTAAACTATGTAAAAACATTTTAAGGTTATTTATGTTTTATCAGTATATAGCTCTGGCCACGATTTGTTTGAACTGTCAAAGTTTTTGTATTAAGATTTCCTACTATAACCATTTCTCTACTTTCCCTGTACCTGCAAACAGATTTTATGGTACATTATTTAGTCCATGGTTAAATATTGATTGTCCCTGGATCAGGTCTCCTAACTATACTTGGATTCTTCCTCTCTGTTCAAAGACTAAAATAGAAAGATTGATCCCTCAGATACACTGAGATGAAACACAAAAAACTGGCCAGACCAAAGGCAAAAGAAAACACTTGATGCACTCAAGCGCTATAATGGGCATTCTGTCTTTTCGTAAGTTATGCCTGTGATGAATTTACACATATGTGATGAATACATAAGCCATTTATTCATGAGTGGGCAGAAAAAGGCCATTATTCAAAAAAAAAAATGTGACACTTAAAATGACAAATTCCTTGCAGAAAATAGCCCATGACACCACCTACATAAAAGCTCACCAGAAAATAATACCTCCTAGGAGAGAGTAAAGGTTGGGACAGGGGAAAACTCACCATAAAACTTGGACTTAGCCAGGATACTACCACTAAGGCAAAATCCATCTTTTCGATTACTAACATAAAAGGCAGATATTGGTGGATGATGGGACACCTATTAAACACAAGTAAAAATATGAAATATAAAAAGATAAGCATATTACTGTGCCATTATCAAAAGTTCAAGTAAGAGAAAACATTTGGTAAGTAGTAAAATTAAACACTGATGGTTATAATAACCAGTCTCCTGTCTCCTAATGAGACACACACTCCTGGTATTCACATAGGCCCCAATTATATTGTACTGAAGTTGGTTTGTATGGAAGTGATACTATGTAATTTCTGAGATTAGGTTACTAAGCCCCTTCCATGTTGGGGGCTGTCTATCTGCCTCTCTTTCAATCATTAGTTCTAAAAAGCCAGCTCTGAGATTGTGAAAAATGCTATAAAGAGGCCTATATGGGAAGGAACTGAGTTCTTTTGTCAACAGCCATGTGATGAACCTGGACATGAATCTTCTAGCCCAGTCATGCCTATAGATGACTGCAAAGCTGGCTGACAGACTGCAAGCCCATTATAAACCCTGAGCTGGAACCATCTAAGCAGCTCTCAGATTCCTGAACCTCATCATATGACATAATAAATACTGCTTTAACCCATTCAGTTTTGGCAGTAATTTGTTAGACAGCAATGAATAACTAACACAGTGATTACTCTTCATATGGATTACTGAATGACTGTAGGAAACAAAAACAAAACAACGTATTATTTAATAATATAATGCTTTCAATAATATATTTACATTTTATGTTCTCTTACATGAGACAAACTAAAATCAGCATCTCAAGCTTCTTAATTTCATGAAGAATTAGATGCAAGGTGGTATAATCACTGACTTAAAAAAAATTAATATAGACAAGTTGTTTTGACCTGAAGGGGTTATCAAAACCTCTAGGTGAAGAAGATTTTTCAAAGAACACATGGTCTTCTCATTCTCCTTATACTCAAAATGAGAATTGCCATAATAAGAAGCCACTGTTATTGAAAGAAAATGTCGTACTTCTCAGGTTTATGCAGCAGAGAAGACTGAAAATCATGATTACAGATGTACATGAGTTCAAATTAATGAAAGTTTAAAAACGAAAATATTTTCTGTCTGTATATAACAAAAAGTGGGGTATCATCGGGGAGCAGAGGGAATTAAAGAAGCTAACAATTCAATTAGGAAAATAAATATTCTGTAAAATGGTAAATGATATAAATGTTAAAATAACAGCTTAATGGATAATCACAAAAATAATACAGAAGTTTGAGAAGGAAAAAAATCACTGGGAGCTGTAGTCATTTGGATCATGAAGGATAAGCGGGCCAGGGTTTGTTTAGATAAAGAATAGCTAAGAGGAAATACCGGAGTGGGAGAATTAAATTTAAAAATGAGGCAATAAAGTGCTAGATCAGGTTATCTAGTCATGAACTGCACAGATGTGGTGAACTAAGAAAGGTATTAATTTGAGATAAATTTGGAAAGATAGAGAGGACTTTGAATGCCAGACCACTGAATAATTTTGTACATGATCAAAAGTTGTTTTGAAAATATGAGCTCAGCAAAAAAAAAAAAAAAATTAATTAAAACAAGGACAGAGGATATGGCAAAGGAAAAATAAAGATTTATTTTTGGTCAAAGGATTCCATGACTGTAATAATAATACCTATCAGTATGGTATTTTTATAGAGTTTTAGTAGTATTAAATACTAAAATGTTAAGTGTTTACCAAATGTTCACAAATAAGAAAGGCTAAATAACAGTGAGTTTACTGAGTAAATATTTTCTATAAAAATATTCCAATAACTTCCAAATGAGTTTTGTTTCCATACATGCATTTCTAATACCTGTTCAGCAATATAAAAAGTTTTGCTGTTTGTTCTGGGATGAATCCATAAACAACGGAAAGTCTCACCAAGTATAGGATTATAAGGTTTCTTCAGTCCCTAGTAAAAAAAAAAAAAAAAAAAAAAAGAAATGCAGTTTCAAATTACATACAAAGGATTCGAAATAGTTTAAACTAGTCAAAATGGGTTTAACTGTAACATCTAGGGACCATCCTTATAAAATTTCAAAGTAAATAAAATTTACATTAAATAAAATTAAATGACTTCAATCATAATAAGGTCTAAATGATCAGGTATTTTGCAATTTTGCTACGTCAAAGTAGCCCAGTAATGTAATTGTTAATAAATAACAGATTACATACAATATAAAGAACTCATAAAACACTAAAGACTATAAAATATAAACAAACATTACCTTTGGCTTTTTATAAAATCCTGACAAATACCATTTGACGACTTTCTTCAAACGGAAATAAGGATTTTCTTCAAGAGCAGCCCTAAAACACAAAACGGTAAACAAAAATTTTACAAAATATATCATAAATTCTCTCTCACATTTATTAACTAGTAACTGAGTATGAAATAGGATTGGAAAACATAATTCATATTTTAAAACAACCATGTAATCAATTTTCAACCAGGTAAATAAATTTCTGTTTTTCTTAACCTGGTCACATTTTCCCCCATTTTCCTATTATTTGATACACTGTCCAGGTCTTTGCTAAAGTAGTTTTTGGAAACTCTCCAAACCAAGGTTTCTGAATTGGGACTCTGCAGAATCTGAGATATTAGGGACTCTGAAAATTGTCACTGAAAAAAATAAACATGGATTTTGGATTCATGCACTGTGTGATTTCTAGCATTCACAATGATAGGCAGTGGCCAAGCAGTCTCATTAACAATTTTGTTAGAGGTCTTCAGCCTCATATGTCAGTGAAGGACAAATGTTTACTTGGTTGAGTCCATTCTCAGTTGTTGATGTTAGAGGAGACCAGTGATAACTGGTGGGTATAATAGTACATGGACCGGGGAGGACATAGGAAGCACCTTCCTAATATAGGATTTTATGGGTTTGCAGTCCTTAGTACAAAACACAGAAATTTCGAATTACAAATATGAAGCAGAGTTAAAATAACTAAATCAATCCAGAAGGTTCTAACCTATTTTTATCCTTCAACCAGCTCTTGTGTGCTATCAACTGATTTTCCAGAGTTAATAAACTCAACCATAATAATGGATAATCAAAGAGTAATTTTCATTTTTAAAGAAGAAATTTGTAGGAGTCATGACTCAGCTGGCCCCCATACAATTCTGCTATTGTTGTAAACATTGCAAAAACCTGATTGTGTATGTCTGAAGTATATTTTACTGAGAAGTTGTTTTTTATTATTGTTTCCTGTTTGTAATGTGGCTACCATGCCCTTATTTAAAAAAAGGCGTTTATGTTTCACATGCATGTCTGACAGTCCAATGCTGTGAATTTTTAAGATGAGACAGAAGAGCATAAACCTAGGCTTACTGACAATTGTGCAAAGTTGAAAGCTTGAGGTTTTTTGGAGTAACAATCCTCTTGTTGCTCTCTTCCCATTTTGGTTTAAATTCCCTTACTAGGCAATTTCATTTTAAAATTAAATATATAGTTCAAAAGTCAAAGCATATAAAGAAGTACACGTCTTGGTACTGCCTCATCTCTCTACACTGTTCCTACTTACCTTCTACAGGTAACTTTTTAAAAAAGCTTCCTTTTAAGTTTTAGGCATAAACAAGCATATATAAACAAACAATCCTGTTTTTTCTCGAAAAAAAGGGTTGTAAACTATACATACTCTTCTATACACCTTGCTTTTTTCCTACACAATTTTGGAGGTCCCTCCAGATCAGTTTATGGAATTCTTTCTTATAGGTGTCCATGTGCCATACGTTATTTAACCAGTACACTATGCTGGACACTGGAGTTACAGCTAATGTTTTATTATTACAAGCCATTCTGCAACAATCTTAGGCATATGTGGCATTATATCTGTAGGAGTTATTCCCAGAAGTGAGATTAGTGGATCAAATGATGAATGCATGCATAGTTTTGGTAAATACTGCCAGATTACCTTCAGGGTCCTGTGCTAGTCTGCACTGCCCATGGTGGTGTATGATAGTGCCTGGTTGCCAACAGAACCTTGGCAAGAATGTGTAATGCCAGAAAAGTATAATCTTTCTATGTATTTGGGACAAGGAACATCTCTCAAGAAGATCTTGTGATTCAAAGGAATCTGCCTTACATTCTGAGAGAAGTGAATTTTTAGACAGATAAAAGAAAGTGCAGAAGATATTACACAGAACCAGGATATAAAAGCTTTTGACTTCTTGTCGATGTGATAGATAAACAATATATTACATAATTCAAATGTATATATTTTCCTTATTTTGCATGAGGTTTTTACACATTTGAGGACTGTTCCTATTTTTTAACTTTTGAACTGCCCTGTCATTTCTTCCACCCCCCTTTTTTAAAAACAGGTTGTTAATAATTTTCATTCAATTTTTAAAAGCTTTTTATTTTAGGAAGCGTAACATTTTGCCTATGATGAAATTTGCAAAAATTTCCCAGTTTATCAATTATCTTTTGATTCAGCTTATTACGTATTTTCAACGTTCACTTATACAATTTATAGACAGAAAGTGAAAATAAGTCTCTATAAAGATGCTACAAATCATGTCCCAGGGCTAGATGTCAGTGGCACAGAAAGCACAGTGCCTTCAAACACCATTATTGCTGAAATGGGGGCAGCAGGTAAGAACTGGAAGCACGGACACAAAGTTGCTGTTCCTTGCAAAGTTTACTGGTTTTCCTAGAAACTGCTGGGACAGAGGTGGACAGCTCCTCCTCTGCCTCCATCAGCTGTGCCTTCTTCAGAATTACACCCAGGATCAGCTGATAGCTTCAGAAGAAAAGCAAAGAAAATACAGATTTGTTCCAGAAGCTAGCAACTGGCAGGTCATTCTAGTTCTGGTAAGCTCACAAGCATGCAGACAGATAAGTATGAGCAAAAGTAGAAGCCCCAGGATGGGACTGAACAAGGGCTTTCACAGAGAAGAGCAAATGTTGCCAATCATTTCTCACTGTGTTAGGTTAGTGAACTGAGGTTAAGGAGCCTATAACAGCAGTATTACTGAGTAAATGGTAGAATTCTTGTTTTCCTCAAGCTTATGGTATCTCAATTTAATTTTATAAATTGTATTATTATAGCAAATTATTAAATATGCTTCTTACTAAGAGTCAACCATAGAAGTGGTAGAGAAGAGAGTGATGTCTCATTAGAGCCTGATTTTGGAAAGGAACAGGAATTGAAAATAGCACTCTTGAGAATTTCTAAAATCATAAAGTATTGTCTATTTTAAGAAACAAGAATCTACTTACTCAGATAGGAAATCTGCATGATAGTAGTAATCTGAAAGTTTATCCAGGAAGGAACGGGGTTCCAAAATAAATGTAGGCAGAACCACCTTGGATAGGTCCATGCCAGGACGGACTTGTTTCAATAATGTCCAGATAAGGCTTTTGTTTTCTTCAGACACAGTTTCTGTTTGAGAAGCCTCACCTGCCTTTATCAATTAATGAAAATCACCAAAACATTATATTTATTTCAACAATATGTAAACAAGCCAGTTAATGTTGAAATATGAATTCTTTTCAGGACTACTACAAGCATTCTTTAAATGCGGAAACAAAAGGTTATAAATAAAATCTATAGCTATAAAACTTAGGTAAAAAGGGTAGCTGAAAAAGACACCAAGTGAACAATATATGTAAGAAATTTACTACAAAAATATTATAGCCTATTACTTTACACTACATTTACTTCTATGATACACTGGCAATAACAGAGTTATAAACTCGTGTTTCCTTGCAACTTACTTTGCACCTGGCAATGACATCAAGCAATACCCTACTTTAAAAGCAAGCTTGAAGAAAATGTAAACTTTAAATTTAATAGAATACATTGGTATTTATGTGAGTATATGTGTTTAGTTGTTTATAAATCCTAATATATTTCTTATGTATGTAACTTTAAAAATATGTATCATATTCTATCACAAAAAATAGGCAATAGATCAAGCAAATAATATCTTCAATTTCATTTGAAAATTTCCAAGAATATGAAAATCCAGAATCTCTGAAAATAACAGACTTTTACCTCCCCAAGTTCTTCATGGCTTTGTTCAGTGTAGGTAGTCTCCTTTAAAGGTTCAACAGGCTCAGGTTCTATATATGAGTCATCTTGTCTTTCTGATGTATCTGTGTCACTTTCTTCACTTTTCCCCATCACCTCATTGTCAGATTCATCATGTTCTTGATCATTTTCTTTATCAGATTTATCAGAATACATATCTTGGTCCTTAAAATGCTGTCGTTCAATTTCACTATCATTTAACCTTAAAGGAAAGAAGTTTCAGGAAGAAGAATAAAGGATATTGAGAATGCTCAACTCATAAATAATAATTATATACAACATTTACTGATAATTTACTATGTGCCAGACAGTGTTCTGAGTGTTATACATAGTGTTAATTCACCTAATCTTCAAAATAAGCCTGTAAGATAGGTAATATTATTATTATCATTTTACAGATTAGTAAACAGAGGCACAGAAAAGTTAAGAACTTGGGTAAATGTGAAAAGATGAAACTCTGAGCTCTTTGCCTCTCTACCATTTGAGGCTAAAATCTTCCAAAACCAAAATTTTAGACTACTTCTTGCTAGAATTTTGTTCCTACTTAGTTTTTCAAACAGTATCACCTGCATCAATCTCACTGTCACTTATGGTATAAAGAAAAAATACAAGTCTTCAGATCTCAGCTGAATTCAAACAAATTATGACTTTCCATAAGTCATAAAGGTTTCCAGAGTCACCTCACATGAGTCTAAGCATAAGATATGAAAATGGTAAATGGTAAGCAATTATATTAAATTCTATTCATCTGAAAGGTTTAATACTGGGAAAAAACCCAGAGATAATTAAAAATGGAAATTTCAGCTGAAGGAAATGAACCCATAGACTAAAATCAATTAAGTTTTGCTAAATCTACCCTATTCTCTCTGAAAGTGATTAGGGTAAATAATCTGTACAAAATGGGGAAAGTGTTAGAAAGAGGTTCCAACAAATATCCATTCCTCTATCAGTAGCCCACCCCATTCCATTCTATCTCGTTTAGGCACCAGGTACTTGAGATTAAGATAAAGCTCCAGGTCGTAGGTCTGCAAAGAAATAATATAAAAGGTCAGGTAATGGAGGTTTTAAAGAGAGTGGGGACTGGGGGAAAAGTCTGGGAAACTTAGTGAGACTACGTCTCTACAATAAATAAATAAATAAATAAATAAGCCGAGTGTGGTAATACAGGCCTGTAGTCTAGCTACTGGGGAGGCTGAGACTGGAAGATCGACTGAGCCCAGGAGTTCCAGGTTACAGTGAGCTATAATTGTGCCACTTAACTGCAGCCTGGGCAACAGAGTGAGGGAGACCTTGGCTCTAAAAAATTTTTAAAAGTAATATAAAGGGAGAAAAAAAAGAAAAAGGGCAAAAGGATAGGGAAGAAATGTCTGAATCGGGCTACACGGAGAAGAGAATAGCAGCCTAACTGTGAGAAGAGCAACCTCAGTGCTGATAAAAGTGGGTACAGAGCAGAAGCTGAGGCGGGGGAAAGGGAGGAAAGAGGAAAGTCTAATGTTTTTCCTGCAAAGCAACAACAAGACCTGAATCTCAACAAAGTCTTTGCACCGCTGCCCAGTTTCCCTGGAGAAATAGTTTTTCCAGGAACTGTTTATTCCCTGAAGCTTCAGGGAATAAAACCACAAACAGGATACAGTACCAATTCCAAATAGGATATAAACAAATTTCACAAATACCAGGTAGAGTAAGTCCAGTGCCGTTACCAAAAAAGAAAGACAGCTAATGCCTTATAGTTATGAGGCAGGAAAGGCTTCACATATGATGTAATACTCGAGACCGATCTTGAAGAATATATAGACAGGAGAAAAGAGCAAGTAGAAGAAAGAAATTTTAAATGGAAGGGACAACATGCACAGACAAGGTGAATAATTCACATGGCTATATTTGGGAACGATAAAGTAAATCACATTGGCTGGAATCAAGGAAATAGATTTCTATACCTGATTATAGCAGCTGAACAAATCTTAAACCAGGCCTTAGGGCCACATAAGGAGAAGATATGCAAATTTCAGTCCTAGATATATTACTAAAATTCCAGGCCTGCCAACTAATTTTCTGAACAGCATGTTTCTGAAACCATTACAAAATCAGTGGCAATATCTACTTACTGGAAGTTGTCCCCACTGTGGAGATTGTTAGCACGTAATAAGCCATACAAAGTCACATGTGTGCTATCTGATGAAATGCTCAGGTCATGTTCCTTTCCTTCCCTGATCATTGTACGTTTAAGAAGACTAGAACATTTCAAAGCCAACTCCAAAGCATCCATCCAGCACCTTCCTACAAGAACACAGATTCATAAGCAATATAATTTTTAAAATCATGAAACTATCATGCATCTTAACTTACTCGGTTACCACTATTTCTCTGAGAAACATACAATGTTAAAGTAAATCTGAACGTAACATTCTTAATGAAATCTTTCAGTTTTTCAAAGGCTTTTCACATAGTAATCAGCTAGAAACCACTGATAAATGAATAGTATACAGTATGCATTAGAAAGTATACTCAATCTAAAATAAGCATATTTTATTTTTCAAATCTTAGAACATTAACATGCAGTATAATTTGAAGACAAGCAAGGTACATAAAATATACTGGAAGATTTATGGTTCTACTATAAACAAACTATCTTTGTTAATAGGAAGTCTATCCTCAGGATTAACATCCATTCTAATATATGTATGAAAATTTTTAAGTCAGGAAAATGCCTATATAAGGCTACCATTAACTGCCATATTTAGTTAAGAGAAACATTTTTTTTTAATTAAAATTTACAAGTGTATTAGCAGAAAACTTTATATTTGTTTGGTGCTCTTAATTTTCACATATATCACTTCAAGATTTGCTGGGAATATCAGCCAAGTAAAGCATTTTTCACATTGAAAGCTCATACTTATATTTCAAAAAATCATCTGAGGGTAGGTGTGGTGGCCCACACCTGTAATCTCAGCACTTTGCGAGGCTGAGGCGGGCAGATCACGAGGTCAGGAGACTGAGACCATCCTGGTCAACATGGCGAAACCCCACCACTACTAAAAACACAAAAATTAGCTGGGTTTGGTGGTGCGTGCCTACAATTCCAGCTATTCGGGAGGCTGAGGCAGGAGAATCACTTGAACCAGGGAGTCGGAGATTGCGTGCGGTGAGCTGAGACTGCACACTGCAATCCAGCCTGGTGACAGAGCGAGACTCTGTCTCAAAAAAAACAAAAAATCATCTGATAAAAGTAAACTTTGGAAGGTTACAAGATTCCCTATACCAAACTTGTTTAAACTATGAATCACTAAAGTATGAAAGTGAGGATGAAATCCATTATTAAGATTTTAAAGTTACCTTGATATCATATAAGTTTTTCTCTCCCCATATAGGTTTCATGAATTAAGTATAAAAGGAGGAATTAAAAAGATTGTACTTAAATGTCTTAATATAAAAAAAATCCAAAACAGTGTATATGTCTCATAAATGGTAACATTTAGCAATAAAATATAAAGTATTAAATATATCTTTAAAATGATAAAACTTAATGAGTTACCATAAAGACCACTAACAAGTAAAAGGTGTTAATATGTCCATGGAGCGAGCACAAAGAAAAAAACTCTGAACTGCTAACTCATCAGTAAATAATACAAGCTTCCTTTCTAACAGATTTCCCTATTTGTCTATTAAGATACTCATATATTTAGTATTCCAACCAATTTATGATTACCATGCTTCTGCTGCAAATGCTGTATCAACAACGTATTTCCCCAGAATAATGCAAAGTAGCATTAAAAAACCCCTTAAAAATGAAGACCAAAACCCAATCCATCAAAAACTATATTTACCATCTGATTCTGAAGTAGCCCGGATGATCAAATAACTGCTAGGTAAGGGCTGAGTAATGGATCCAACTGCTTCACCTTTTGGACCCTTAATAACAAAATAAACAAAATAAATGGTATAGAGTAAGTATTATGAGATCTCAACTTTATATTATCCAGTATTATCTGTAATAATCTAAATCAGGTATGGATTATAATTTAAAAGCAAACAAGCTCTAATTTCATCATTCTTGAGAATGCAAATGTTAAGTATTAAGAAAAATTTTCTTTTCTAACAAATGTACATCCTTAGCAGAAAACTAAACAAATGACAGTTATCACTTAAATATTATCTGTACATATTGTTCACATATTAAAGAGAACCTAAATTTTACCATATCAAACTAAATTTTAACTTAACAATGTCCATCCCATGGACATAACTAACGAGATAAGCAACACTAAATTTCTAGAAGGCTAAAGAAAGCATCTGGAAATAGAATTATAACTCAAAAGAAAAAGAGAAATGAATTTTAACTGGGTCTAGGGAAAAATACATCTCCACTTTGTAACCCATGACATATACCTGTTTTTAAACACCAACTATATAAGCTAATTTTATTTTTCCAGAAACCTGAAAGAAAAATAAATTTTGTTGTTGTTGGCTAGGGTTATTTGTTTTAGAAGTATATAATACCAACACTAATTAGTATCACCAATGCTAAGCTTAGGTAGATACAAATCTGAAAAGAAAACTAAGTACTGAATTTAAAGTATAATTTTGGTATGAAAGCGTAATTTTTAAGTTGTTTTGTAAGGGTTCCTTAAAGTTATCAGGTCAAAGAACAAAAGATTTCAAAAAGTATACAATATCAGAAAGTAAAGTGAAGACTCAAAATGAAAACAGAAAGAAAAATTAATATGGCTTTAACAAATACTGCAATATTCTGAATTTTTGAACAGCTTTACAATTTATGGGCCAGTTCCTAAAACAAGTATACAGTGAGACATGAAATCAGACTGCCTGGGTTTTAATCATGGCTCTGTGCTAAGAAAAACAGGGTTCAATTTATGTGTATAATGGGAAGAAACTGTATCCTCCTTATAGGTATGAAAATTAAATAAATGATTTCATGTAAAATACTCAAGAGTACCCGACACAAAGAACTCACATCTGTTACTATTTTTTTTTTTTTTTTTTTTTGAGACTGAGTTTTGCTCTTATTACCCAGGCTGGAGTGCAATGGCACGATCTCAGCTCACTGCAACCTCCGCTTCCTGGGTTCAGGCAATTCTCCTGCCTCAGCCTCCTGAGTAGCTGGGATTACAGGCACGCGCCACCATGCTTAGCTGATTTTTTGTATTTTTAGTAGAGACAGGGTTTCACCATGTTGACCAGGATAGTCTCAATCTCTTGACCTCGTGATCCACCCGCCTCGGCCTCCCAAAGTGCTGAGATTACAGGCTTGAGCCACTGCGCCCGGCCCCTGTTAACTATTTCTTAATCACGAACACTGGTTACCAAAATGTTTAAACAATATCCTAAGTAGGTTTTGCTTGTGGAAAATATTTATATAGCTTTCTCTCTTCTTCCAATATTAAGAATTAAATACTATAAATTTGACATTAAAATACTGATTTTAATTGACATTAGAATCATTAATATAATAATTTTAAAATTCATTATAATACTTGCAATTCCTAAGAGTAAATGAAAATACTGTATCTATGTGTGTGTGTGTGTGTGTGTGTGTGTGTGCGCGCGTGTGCGTCTATATATATTCTTTTAAAAAAGGTTTTGAAAATCATTTTCTCCACTTGAGAATTGCTTAATAAATAAATATCAGACTTTTGGGGGGTTAAATTCTTTCCCCTACAGGAAGTACCTAATCCCAGAATGGAACTAACTTGGTAATCCCAAATTTATTCTTGCTATGACTTCACACTACTAAAATAAAGATTAAAAAGTTCAAGTCTTTTCCTGGGTATACATATATTGCATTATTAAGCAATATCCACTCCCCAACCAAAAAAAAAAAAAAAAAAAAAAATGGATTAAGCTACTTTTACTTAACAGTAATCTCAATTAGGTGGTTTTCCCTAAAGGAGAAATCCTAACTTCTTTATTATAGGATAACTGGCCTTAGAAACTAAAGCAATGATCATTTTGTAAAAACTTAAACTAGGATAGGCATGGTGGCTCACATCTATAATCCCAGCACTTTGGGAGGCTGAGGCAGGAGGGCCCAGGAACTGAAGACCAGCCTGGGCAACACAGAAAGACCCTGTCTCTACAAAATTGTTTTTTAATTAGCTGAGAATGGTGGCACATGCCTGTAGGTCCTAACTGCTCGGGAGGCTGAGGTGGGAGGACTGCTTAAGCATGGGTGGTTGAGGCTGCAGTGAGCAATGATCATGCTGCTGCAGTTCAGCCTAGGTGACAGTAAAATCTTGCCTAAAAAAACACGCACATATACACACAAAACTACTTACACTAGGCTCATTTTTCAATTAGTATAATGCTTTTTTTTTTTTTGGGGGGGGGCGACAGGGTCTTGCTCTGTTGCCCAGGCTGAAGTGCAGTGGCATGCTCATGGCTCACTGAAGCCCCTAACCTCCCAGGCTCAAGTGATCCTCCCACTGCAGACTACAGTTGGGACTACAGGTACATGTCATCATATCTGGCTAATTTTTGTATTTTTTTGTAGAGATGGGGTTTCACCATGTTGCCCAGGCTGGTCTTGAACTCCTGAGCTCAAGCGATCTACCCACGCTGGCCTCCCAAAGTGCTGGGATTACAGGAATGAGCCACTGCACCCAGCCACAGTAATGCTTTTCAGTTATAAAAAACATTAATGCTTCACTTTAAAGAAACCTGCCTCTTTCTCAAGAGTAAGTAGTTAAAAAAAAATTTAAGAATCAGTAAGCTTGTAGGCTTCCCATCACACATTTATATCACTAAAGGAAAGACCACAAAAATAAATTGCAGTTTCTGTTCTAGGGAATCCTTCTTACCATTTTGATAAAGAGAAAAAACACAGGAGAAAACAAACAAACAACAATAAATATGATACAATGTTACAAAGCTGAGTTAGTAATTATAAACTGAAAACAACATAGTACAATTGAACACCCAAGGGCAAAAGAGATAAAAAGATGCCATATACAAAGTTATACCTCAAAGGTAAAGCTTTTTGGTGCACATTTTGCTATGGGTAGAGGCAGAATGGGGAATAATGCACTGAAAGGCGGAACAGATTCGTAAGTCCTGACAGAGGACTAAACTCATCTGATTGATTTATCTGATTTCCACTCACAGATTACCATCTTTACCTTTCACCTATATAACAAGGACTTACGTACCTTCACTGCCCAAATAGACTGCTCCAAAGGATGGAAAAGTTTGAAACAAAAGCCATCCTTTTTTGATGGACGCTCAATGATTTCACAGGCATTCAGAAGAACTGTTCCTACCCACTGACCATTTTTTTGGGTTTTATAGATCAGTAGCACCCCAGGTTTCAACACACACCATAACTTGGTCCAGCTCTTTAGAGTACCACGAATCTACAGAAAAATAAGTTTATTTTAAAAATGAAGATCTATTCCACAAGGTCCAAACCAAAAAACTGCAAACAAGATGTTTTAATCTAAAATTTCCGTAACATGTACACTTTAAAGAGATATTTTGCTTAAAAGCTACTACATGGCAAGCACAGCAAACAGACATGAAAATGATATGGCTCTTATTTGTAAGAAACTTAAATTTTAGTGGGACACAAGCCAACAGTTTCAAAATAGTGTACTAAGTAGAATAATTTTCTTAATCTTCCTGACCAAGTCAGGGGCCATTTTAAAATATACTTTCCTGGTACTGAGATTCTTCATGTAACATTGACCATGGCTATAATCTTATTTGTGTGTATATGATGATTCTTCTGCTTAAAACAATTTTTCCCCTTCACCACATCAACAGTGCAGAAAACACTGCTGGCACATACTAGGCATTCCCTAAGTATTTGGTGAGTGGAAGGAAGAGAAAACAACTTCCTCCTAGCCCCTAAAATTACGTTATTTAAATTACTCTGTTCCTAGTAATTACATAAAATATATCATATAAATTTACTGGAGGATATTTTAAAATACAAGTTACATGAATCCCTATACTGTCATAAAATGCTCCTCATCCTAGGGTTTAATGCTATGTCAATAATAAGTCTAAAATTACTTTTTCTATCAATTTCTACTTCCATCATCTATTAAATTGTTTCTGTGCAATTCAGTGAATTCAAAATATTGAAAGGATGTTAATATTTAGAAAAAAGATAAGAATTACACTTTTATTTACTGTAAAACATCTGCTATTTCAATGTACCTACAAGATGTGTGAAATAATACAGGATTCCCTAACCCCCCAAATAGGCATACCACAGTAACTCTCAACAAGAAACATTTAGAAAGGAGGAGTTTGGAGCCAGGCATGAAGAAAAGAGAAAATCTTAAGATATGTGTATATGTAAAAGAATGGTAAGACAAGAGATGTGAAAGGAAGATAGATCCTCTGAAATAACATTTTGGATCACAGAGATGCAACAGAACACGAAGGACAAATTATCAGAAGGAAGGTAAGGCAGAGAAAGTCAGCCAGGGAATGCTGTTGAGGACTTAATATTTTAACTCTGAAAAACCTAAGTGAGACCTTGAGCTAATACACTTCTAAGTAGAGTCAAAACAAGTTGGAAGGTGTTATGGGCACAAGATTGAAGATTAATTACCTGAATTGTCAGGATTAATTACCTGAATTGTCAGGGGAACTATCTAGACACTCATTTTAGTGAGAGGAGTCCTATGACAGTTCTCTTAAGGTTTATGAGGTCAGAGGTCTCAGTAACTCTTGGAAAAATGGAAAGCTTTCAGGGTTGGGATGATTCTCAGGTACATGCAAGGTACTAAAATTTTCTGTGGGTCAGAGTCCTACAAGATCACTCTTCAAGTTGGGATTCCTACCAGCTGTGTTTCAGATAAGAATGAGAAAGAGGACAGAGTGACCAGGATGAAAGAAAAGAAAAGAAAAATAACCAGAGGCCAAAATAATAGGGTATAGAAACAGCAATGTGTGCTTATCTGATAATTGATACTTTCCATTTGATAAAATATATTATGTATCCAACTGATGATAATCATTTTCAAGTAACTTTTATATTGTTTGTCTCATCTCTTTTTAATAATATGCCAAGTATACAGTAATACTTAACAATAATTGAAATAGCAAGCAACATATTTTTTACAGAATATTTTAGTAGACAACATATCACACAAACCACAATGCTTTTTTAAAAGAACTGCTATACTGTATGTAATTGATGCTACTGTTAAGAGAGGCATTAAGATTCCTTCTCTTCATTCAGATGGGAACACAGAACCTCTGGGAATACAATAATAATTCCTTTGCCAGTGAAAAACAATAATCTTAGCAGTTGTTTTTGCCTCATGGGTTTTAGGTATACTCTGGGCTTTCCCATTCCAGTAGGTAAACATCCAGCATCTGAATTCATGATTCAAAACATACTGACCTTCAGCCAATCAGCCATAACAATAACAGAAGGATCTGTGATTGTACTAAGCAGCTCCTTTGTGGCTCTTTTCTTTTCTTCACGGTAATTTTTCTTTTGTACCTATTATATAGAAATATTAGAAAAGTTAAAAACTCAACAGAAATGAGCAATTTATTTTAAGTTCAGGGGTGTATATGCAGGTTTGTTACATGGGTAAACCTGTGTCATGGGGGTTTGTTGTACAGATTATTTTATTACTCAGGTATTAAGCCTGGTACCCATTACTTAATTCTTCCCGATTCTCTCCCTCCTCCCATCCTCACCCTCTGAAAGGCTCCAGTGTGTGTTATTCCCCTCTATGTGTCCATTTGTTCTCATCATTTTGCCCCTACTTCTAAGTGAGAACATGCAGTATTTCTTTTTCTCTTTATGTGTTAGTTTGCTAAGGATAATCTCCTCCAGCTCCATCCAGTCTCTGCAAAAGACATGATCTCATTCTTTTTGATGGCTGCATAGTATTCCATGGTGTACCACATTTTCTTTATCCAGTCTTTCACTGATGGGCATTTAGGTTGATTCCAAGTCTTTGCTTTGTGAATAGTGCTGCAATGAGCATACAAATGCATGTGTCTTTATAACAGAATGACTATATTCCTTTGCATATATACCAAGCAATGGCATTGCTGGGTCAAATGGTAGTTCTGTCTTTAGGTTTTTGAGGAATCAGCACACTGTCTTTTATCCTAATATGCTAGGATTCTAAAGAGGTTGAGTTTCATCCTATAATGGTGGGGTATAGTATAAAATTCTAAACCTCTTTAGAATTCCAGAATCTTACAATAAAACTACTACAGTTTTTTTTTTTTTTTTTAAAGTATGAGTTAGTCTTAGACAACCAAGGTTATAATCTAGTTTTTCTGACCACTAATCCAGTTCTACGTATCTTTTAAATAATTTTACCTTTTTCTTTTCTTTTCTTATGAGACAGTCTCATTCTGTCACCCAGGCTGGAGTGCAGTGGCATAATCTCAGCTTACTGCAACCTCTGCTCCTGGGTTAAAGCGATTCTTTTACCTCTGCCTTCCAAGTAGCTGGGATTACAGGTGTGAGCCACCACACCTGGCCAATTTTACCTCTTTTTAATTACACAATACATTAATACAAGCTCACAATAAAAATTTCCAACATAAAGCTAGAAGCCATTTTCATTATATCCCATCCTCTTCCAATCTTCTGAATTGATGACTGTTAACTTTCTGGAAAACACTGTCTTTTCAGACTTTTTCTAAGTAAACAACCTACAGAAACATGTAGATTTTGTGTTTAGCACACAAAAAGTTCCCCGAATAAGCGTTTTTTGAAGAGTATTAACGTTATCTCATTCTTATTCTTTTAACTGTTACATAGGATTCCTACTGCAAATTAAAATAATAAGAACGCTAACACTGAGAGCATTCTATGAACCAGCCACCGTTCTAAGTACTTTGCTTGTACTGCCATTACCTCATGTAATCATCACAACCACCTTGTGAAGTAGAATTACGATTATCCTTATTTTACAGACAAGAAAACTGAGGCAGAGAGAGTAACTTGCTCAGGATCATACACTTAGGAAATTGCAGAATAAGGATTCAAACAGAGGCAGACTAGCTCCCAAAGCTATTCTTTTAACTAATGGCCTACACTGCTTCTGAAGTATTTATTGATATATTCTCTTACTGATTAAAAAAAAAAAATTTCTCTGTTACCAATTTTTTCAGATAACAAAGAATTCCACAACTGTTTTGCAATTGGAAGTTTTGCTCTCTTTCTCAATAATATGTAAGTTATACATAATTAAGAAACCATAACTATGAAATTAATTTATTCAAAACATCAAAGTTTTGCCTTCATCAGTAAGTTAATTCTGATAATTTGGGGAAGCAGCAGTGGAATAAGGCAGTCTTATTATTGCTTTGTTGTTATAATTTGGATGGGGGAACAGTGATGATAACCTAGTAGTGATTACATTTTTAAACAATGTAACAAAATCTTCCACCAGAAAAGCTGTATTTAATGATAAACAGACTAGACATAGTAAAATTTTAATAATTCTATGCCCCCAAACTTTAAATTTCTGGTCAATATTAATCTACCTGAACTAACAGATTTAATATGGGAAACAAATGCAAACGTATGTAGGACCAGGTACGGAACACAAATGGTAAAATAGACTAGACAGGAACCAGAGCCAATTGGAAAACATGGGTTTCTTAAGCTCCAGATTCTTGGCTACTCAGGAAGGTAAGTCCAGTGCTAAATATTCATCAGAGAAATTGGAAATCTGAACTTTTAATTAATTGTTGCGTCAAAAATTTAAAACATTATGCAGTTCAAGTTCAGGCCATGAGCCAGGAGTTAGTAAACTCTAATTTCAATGGGTGCCAGAGTTCCCATCAGGAGTTCCACAACTTAGTGATGATATATCTCGCTTGGATAGAGCTGTGTAGAGATATTAAGTCCTCAGCCTCTGCAGTGGCCATTTGAGGCCTGAAGCAGTCTGCCCTGGGACAGTCATCAATCAGCCTTATCAGTTGACCACAGTGTACCATACAAATACTAACATTTTCTATGTGTGCCTGACTGTCTGTACCTCTGGATGTTTTTTCTTTCTTTAGGAATACACATATATATATATTTATCTTACTAGCCTACTTCCAAACACACATGCAAAGCCCAATGAAAATTACCTTTCAGAAATAACTGGAAACTAACCTTAAGAGATTCCTTTTTTGTGAGTTTGCTTGAAGTTGAGCTGTCCTTCTCTGAGCCATTATAAAGTTTAGATTCAGACTGAAATCATACAGAAATGAACAGAAGAGAAATAATTAAATCCTTCAGCTTTTCTACATATCACATAAAAATTAATGTTAAAACTATGTTTGTGACATTCTTCTCATTCATTGCTGTGATTTAAGTAAATGTCAATTTTCAAATACCATTTTCCCTATATAGTATTTGCCTTTAAAAATGAATCTGTGTTAAAACCACAAATACAGTATATAAACCTACAATGTGAAGTTAAATAAGATCATTTGTAGATTTTACATTCTATTTTGAGAGTATTTCTAAGAACATATATATAATCAGTTATTCTTAAGACAAAAGTAGCCAAAGCAATGTTATCTTTTAACAATTGAAATACTCAAAAAATAAATAAAAAAAGAAAAAAGACACAAATTCTAACAAGCTGATGCACATGTTGCCCTGTTTCTACTCCTCCTTCAACAGGAAGAAATACAAACACCATTACAAACTAGTATTAAGCCACTCTATCTAATTTGTACAGTATGTAAACACCAATGTTTCTAGGATCTACTACTTCCTACCTATCGAGTGAGTAGGAATTCCTCACTAAATTACTGATGTCTTAAATCTTTTTCCAGACTTTCAGTTTGTACTTCAGTTTTATCTAATCTTCACAAGAATCTTAAAAAATAGGCACAACAGATGGTTTTATCTCCATTTTACAAATCATGAAAAGGAAGCTCAGGAAGGTTGATTTTCAAAACTAACAATCATTAACAATCAACTCTGGTGAACACAGGTTCACCAGAGTAGAAAAGCACAAAACTTAAAAGCTGTTTCTACTTATTTTGGAAAAACAAAATTAAACATATTTAGTGTCCAGAATTTTTATTTTTAACTATTGTTAGACATAGGAGAAGGGACTTAAAGTTCTTAGCAGTACCCCTAGGCAGTGCTAAGAAAGTATACAGAATTTGGTCCAAACGGTGGCTTTCAAATGTTGAGTGGCCAGATGTGCATATCATTAGACATGATCAACGATACATACCCTTGTATACAACTGCCTCAATTTTTAGATTAATGAGAGCAGATAACATGTTTATTTTTCAATGATACCCACTGTGTATCACCCAAAGAAAAGGAACTCAGTAAATATCTAATGAATTAATAAAATGAAAATAAAATAGGCACTTGCAGCTCATTCTCTTAAGAACACTTCTGCTACTTGGTATGAAATATGGGCTATTACGGCGATGGTATTAACTGGATGAACCAGAAGGGAAATGCAAACAATTCTCAATGTGGAAGGCAGAAATCAACCTAAACTTTTGTTAAAGTTTAAGAAGTGGAGTTGAAACATCACATTAAGTACTCCAATGATGATGGCATATATTGTTATACCAAAACAATTTCATAACATTCCTCAAGCCAAACAGGTTTCTGTCTTCTCCTTGGCCCTGGGAACACAAAATGGCATGGCTATTGTCAGAGGAATTATGATGGTTTAAAATTATTAGGAGATTCTACTTCCCACAACCTAATAGGATAATGTTTATAGTATTGTACTTTCTAGAAACTAGTGAATAAAAAATACTAATAGTATTAGCTTAAAAGTTAATGAACATTTATGGTTGTTTACTACTTACGAAGTACAGTTAACTCTTGAACAACACAGTTTGAACTGTGTGGGTCCACTTACACGCAGATTTTCTTTCTCCAGAAGCTACACTGAGTGCACCTACTTCCCTTGCCTCACCTACCACCTCCTCCACCTCTTCTGCCTCTGCCACCTGAGACAGCAAAACCAACTTCTTCCTCCTCAGCCTACTCAATGTAAAGATAACAAAGATAGACTTTTCCGATGATTCACTTCCACTTAATAAATAGTAAATATATTTTCTCTTCCTTATGTTTTTTTAAATAACATATCCTCTAGCTTACTTTATTGTAAGAATACAGTATACAATACATATAACATACAAAATATGTGTTAATTGACTATATTATCAGTAAGGCTTCTGGTCAACAGCACACAATTATAGTAGTTAAGTTTTTAGGTAGTCAAAAGTTATATGCAGATTTTTAAATGCACAGGGAAGGAGAGGGTCAGTGCCCCAACCTCCGTGTTGTTCGAGGATCAACTGTATATGTTAAACATCTATATACTCAAAGCAAACGTATGAGATAGTAGTGATATCCCTCTCTCACTAATGAGGACACTAAAACTAACAGATTACATATCTTTCCAAAGTCACAAAGCTACAAAGTAGATGAGCTGGGATTTTTACCCTAGTCTAATTCCCAGCTTCAGGTTCTTAGTTATCTCACTATATTAATTTCTTATCTTTTAAAACTGTTCATATGGTATTTTAGACTTAAAGTTAAGCTCTATCTTTATGAACAAGGAGAAATCTGTGGTCGGGTGTGGTGACTCATGCTGGTAATCCCAGCTCTTTGGGAGGCTGAGATGGGAGAATTGCATGAGGCCATGAGTTCAAGACCAGCCTGGGCAACATGGTGAGACCCCATCTCCATTAAAAATACAAAAATTAGCTGGGCATGGTGGCATGTGCCTGCAGTCCCAGCTATCAGAGAGGTCAAGGTGGAAGAATCACCCAAGCCTAGGAGTTTGGGGTTGCAATGAGCAGTGATCACACCACTGCACTCCAGCCTGGGTGACAAAGTGAGACCTTATTTTTTAAAAAGTCAAATTTGTTTCCCTAACAATTCCATACGGTAAGATCTGCTTTGGTTATTCCTAAAAGATTACAGTACATAGGAGAGCAGCAGGCCAGACAGTGTCACATGAGCTTGGTAAATTGACCTCAAGGAATCTCTCACATACCCCAAGGAATCTCTGCCATAATGTGCAGTCTAGTTCTGAAATCAAAAAAAGGAGTGACCAAGTTCTACAGTCGTTTCCTACATTACTACCTAGGTTTTCTGAAATGAAAACACCTTTCAAATGCCAAAAATGTAAATGATTTTTGGTGGAGATATTTTACTAAACTAAGTTACCCTTCCTTCATAAACTTTATTGAAACTCTCTTAATGATGACCATCAAGATAGACAGGTTTAATGTATATTACTGCTTGTCTCTTTGTTAAATGGCATTAGAATGCTTAGCATGTTATATTTTTTACTTCTTCCCTTCTTGTTTTCTTTCTTTTCTCCTTTAACTGCTGTCCCTTTATAGGCTCTGTGACTTTGAGCAGTTAATCTCCGTCAGTCTGCTTCTTCATCTGTAAAATGAAGATACTACTACTAATTAATAGGGTTGCTTTGAGGATTACATGAGGTAGCATAATTAAAGTGTTTAACTCAGTACTTGGTATATATTGTTTCAGGTATATTTCAGATTGCAGGTGCTATCAAAAATCTGACCTTTAGAAATTCAGATAATAGGGTATTTATTTATGAAAATACTTCGCAACTTGCTTTGAAAATTACAAAATACTACAGATATAAGGAGTAGTCATTATCATTATCCTTATAACAGGGATAAAGAAGATAACAAGGATGAAGACAACAAAGATAGACCTTATTATCATAATGCTTATAACAAGGCTAATGATAAGTTACTGTGATCACATCAGACATTTTGGTTTATAAAGGTTAAATCTCCAGGTAAATCTATATTTTAAAGCAAGTAATAGATGACTTAGCAAACCTACAAGGCAAGTAGATAGGTGGTTGAAAAATCAACGTAAGAGATGTGAGCTCAAAAACCCTTTATCCTTTTAACAGAATTCTTTTTATCCCTCTGGATATATTAGTTATGCTGTATTTCCTTTTGTTGAGATGGATAATTAAAAATTTATTTTAAAATGCTACTTTGTTTGGAATAATCTGATTAACTGACTTTTCCAGTTCACTCATTCATACAATGACAAAGCCTAGGAAAAGAGGCATGAGAAAAAGGAATTGCCTTATTTTGTTTTGTTTTATTTTTTGAGACAGGTCTCACTCTGTCACCCAGTCTGGAATGCAGTGGTGTGATCAGAGCTCACTGTAGCCTCCAACTCCTGGGCTCAAGTGACCCTCCCATCTCAGCTTCCTGAGTAGCTGGGACCACAGGAGTATGCCACTATGTCTGGCAAATTTTTTGATTTGTGGAGTCGAGGTCTCACTAGGTTGCCCAGGCTGGTCTCGAACTCCTGGGCTCATGCAGTCCTCCCACCTCAGCCTCCTAAAGTGCTGAGATTACAGGTGTGAGCCACTTCACCCAGCAACTTTATTTTTAAATAATGTCTTGAGGATGAGGCAGGTGTATTTCATTGTGCTAATCAGGCTCAATTATGAATTTTAAGAAATAATATTTAACCTAAAATCCTGTGACCAAAATGAGAGTACTCATATTTTTTTGCATCAAGTTGGGAAAAGTTAAAATTGTTTGGTGGTCTCAGTCATACAACTCAATCATAAAAGGAATAATAAATTTTGTTTTCCAAAATTACTCAGGTAAGAATAAAAATCTTCAGAATTCCACAATTATCTCAGGTTTAATGATAAATGTATAAATTTTACAACTGTTCTGAAAAACAAGAGAGTTGGTTGCATGCATATATATATATATATATATATAAGCACAAAAATGTACACATATATGTATATATGTATTATATATTTGAAACAAGGTCTACTTTTTCTCTCAGGCTAGAGCGCAGTGGCACAAACACAGCTGACTTGCAGCATCAACCTCCTGGGCTCAAGCATCTCCTGCCTTAGACCCCCCAGAAAGACGAGATCACAGGCATGTGGCACCACACCCAGCTAATTTTGTATTTTTTGTAGAGACAGGGTCTTATCATGTCCAGGCTGGTCTTAAACTTCTGAACTCAAGCAATCTTTCCATTTCGGCCTCCTCAAGTGCTGCGGTTATAGGCATGAACCACTGTGCCCAGCTGCATGTTAAAATATTTCAAGATAAAGTAGCAACTATAAACTTCTTAAGCTAACAGAATAAACTAAGATTAAATCTATAAGAAAATATGAGAAAATCAGTACATTTCAGCTCTTGGAAAATAACATTATGAGTATAATTGTACTTATACCAAAGTTATGTAATAATCCCATTCATTCATTCTAATGCTTTATTCATAAGAAAATAAATTCTTAACTATTACTAACCAGCTACTTTGTCAGGTACTTTCTGCATCACAATCAGAATAGATCTTATCCCCTCCCTTGCACAAAAAGGAAAACTGGAGCCACTCTGAATTCTAGTTCTAAGACTTACTATTTTGAGTACTGGGGAATTAATCTGTCTGAGCCTCAGTTTGTTCATTCATAAAATGGAGCCAATAATACCTGTCTCCTAGTATTGTTAGGAACTTTAAGATGGTCCACGTAAACTCTCAATAAAAAGCAGTTATTAAGCTGGGCATGGTGGCATGTGCCTGCAGTTCCAGCTACTCAGGAGGCTGAGGTGGGAGGACTGATTGAGCCCAGGAGTTCGAATCCAGTCTGGACAACATAGTGAGACCCTCATCTCTTAAAAAAAAGTAGCTATTAATATCATCGTAACTAGTAGCTAAAAACTTATCGGTAATAGGAGTCAAGGTTCAAACTGACTTTTCACTTTAAAGCAGTGCTGCCCAGAACTTTCTAAATGACAGATATTTTACATCTGAGCTGTCCAGTCTGGCAGCCACTAGCCATATGTGGTTATTGAGCATGTGAGGCATGGCTAGTGTAACTGAGGAGCTAAATTTCTAATTTTATTTTGATTTAAAGATCCACATATAACTAGATGCTACTGTACCCAAAGCATAGTTGTAAAACGTGTGTGTGTGTGTGCCTGCACACATTTTCCCCCATTAAGGCACGCAACTTCATTTAACGTATGCAAAGTTCCTTTTCAGACCTCCCTTCTTAAAGGGTACGTATAGATGGCAAATAAGTAGCTGTGGTATGTAAGTCTTTGTATTTAGGTGTTCAGGCTTTTTAGTAGGACTATCATTATACTATATATTCACCAATTCTGGTATTAATTTCTTGAAAATAGGTCTTTTTAAAGAAAAAACTCTATAAATGTCACTGCATTTCTAGCTGTGGCAGACCTAAGATAAATTATTTCCTACTTTCTTTAATTATACAGACCATGTAAAATGACTGACAGGTCTCAAAACTGACTATCCTAAAATACAGGGGCATACTGACTCTTTTAAGCTGAAAGAAACTGAGAAAACTTGAAAAGCAGAAAGGACACTCTCTGACTTTCTCCCTTTCTGCTCTGATGCAGGCCACAATATAATTCTCTGACCTCCCCTTGAAGCAGGTGCTCTACCTGTCCCTAGAAGAAAGAATCCAAAGACACAGAGATACTAAGAAGAATCTGAACAAACACACCTTGCTAAATTCCCCTCAGTGTATTAGCATCATATAATACTCTCCAACCCTTGTCCAATCATACTTCTGTGACTCTCTGCTCTTCATCAAACCAAAGCATAAAATACACATATTTCCCTGTTCTTTTGGGTCTTCATTTCTGAAAGCTCCTGTCACACAGAAGTTATACTAAATAAATGTATATGGTTTTCCCTTGTTAATCTTTATTTTGTTTTGGGGATCTCAGCCATGAACCTTGCAATGGGAAAAGAAATATTTTCCCATTGGTGATCCAGGCATTTCTCATATAAATATAAAGTACTTTTAAACTACTATCCTTTAACCTTTAAACTACTATTATGTAATGTATACATGAAAAGTGGGAATAATATTTGTGTAAAATCATACATAAAAACATACTGTGCAATCCTCTCAACCACTCTCAAGAACAGAAGCAAAAAATGTAGGTTGAAAGAGCCAGCCCTATTGCTGAGAATAGCAGAGAATTCACAGTCTTTAGAAACAGGTTGTCTTACAGTCATTGAAGTTTGACTTCATAAACATAAAAGATCCCCCTGCCACAAAAATCTTACCAGAACAAACAGCCAAAGGTCGAATCCCTTCACAAACTATAGAAAATCTAGTGAACTACTGACCCATAGGGAAACTGGTTACTGCATCATATAGTGTTTCTCAAATCTGAATATGTACTCTTAAAGAAAAAATGCTCAAGTATGTGTCTAAGTACCCCAGTTTGAGAAATAGTGATTCATAAACTATGACTTATTCTAAGAAAATGTCTTTCAATCGTAAGTAATTATTACTGCAAAGATTTGGCTTTTAACTGGTAAATATATGTATTTTGATTGTCACCTAAATGAACTCAAAACACTTAAGACTTTTTTGTAAGACATAAATCCTGAGAATATATCTGAATGCAATTCTCATACTGAAGTTTGAGAGTGCTGCTACAGTTGAGATACTAGAAACAGTATTACTGTGTCAGGAAAAGTGGTTAACAATTGGCTGTATTGCTAAGTAACCAACAATATTTATGTCGGCCCCAATGGAACTTCAGTTTTTTAATACGCACTACATGGTTTAGATATATCAACATAAAAACATCCCATAAAAGCTTCACAGGATTTCAGTGTTAGTTCCCCCATCTCAAATATTAAGGAAATGTCATGATCATGTATTTGCTTATATATGCTTACCTTGCTCTTTGACATAGAAAGTGAAGAATCATCTTTGTTTTGAGAAATATCTTCCTTCCCTCTTTCAAAACCTTAAAAAAAAGTCAGTATCTCAGAATTACTACTTTTGAGTATGTATAACAAGTCATTCAATTTCAAGTATAGATTATATTTGATATAAATCAGTGCAGGAAGCCTGTACATATAGTTTTAAACTATTAAAGACCTCTAAAGGGTCATATATAGTATAACCCTTTAGAATTAAGGCTTAGAAACAATAAAGTATTTCCCTGAACCCACCAACATCATGAAATAGATCTCTTTTCTTTGTTCCTGATGAACTTCACATAAATTCAGCCCTCATAGAGCTTTTATTCTAGTGAGCTGGTTTCTAGCAATAAATTCTAACTCAACATACTTTTCATACCTTTGGTCAAAATGGAAAACAATTTTGGACTAGGTGATAAAAGACTGGGGAATAAATCCGGATTGACTTTTTTAAATCTTATAATGTGCTTATTTTAAGAATTAGATGAGGATACATATAAAGCACTTAGCATAGTGTTTTTGCACAAAGCATACATTCAATTAATGTTCACCCTTATTATCATCATTATCTATTGTTATTCTAAAAGCATGAACCTAAAATGCACAAGTGTAGTGGACAAACATGAATATACTCCTGAAATCATATAACACTTTAATACAGCACTATGCCAAAACCAAGTAACAAATTACAATTACAAAGGTACAATTAGAGAAACCTCAATATTAAGACTTGTGCGGCAGGCATAAAAGAAGCAGTATACATTTCAATTTTAATGAGGTTTTTCTATTTTTTTAGGACAGGTACTATTAACTCTTCCCTATAATTATTTGTTCAGAGTCCAATTAAAGCCTATATTTAAAAACATATGTACAATTATTCAAAAAGCAGCACTTTAAAAAAATCAAGTGGCTGAATGTGGTGGCTCATGCCTATAATCCCAGCACTTTGGGAGGCTGAGGCAGGTGGATCACGAAGTCAGAAGTTCAAGACCAGCCTGCCCAACATGGTGAAACCCCATCTCTACTAAAAAATACAAAAATTAGCCAGGCGTGGTGGTGCATGCCTATAGTACCAGCTACTCAGGAGGCTGAGGCAGAAGAATTGCTTGTACCTGGGTGGCAGAGGTTAGAGTGAGCTGACATTGCACCACTGCACTCCAGCCTCGGTGACAAAACAAGACTCTGTCTCAAATAAACAAATAAATAAACAAATAAATAAAGTAGTACCAGTGCCTGAAGTATTTTAAAATCACTTCTAGCATATCAAGGATAATATCATTGATTCTATATTTGGTTTGTTAATACAACAGCTAAAAAAAATCTGTTCTATTTTCTTAATCCAGATATTCTACTGAAAATTTTATATAATATAAAAAATGGATTTTTCCCCCCTCTTTGGTAAGAAAAAAGATCACTAAATCCCAATACTAAAAATAAAAATAAAACCTTTACAAATTCAACATGAAATTCTGAATGAAATTAGTTAATGATTTGGGGTAGTAAATTCTCTTCCAACTATCCTCCCCACTCCTACAATAAGATAGAAACCTACATCCCTATTAGAATGGCTAAAATTAAAAGGACTAACACTATCCAATTACAGGTGAAAACATGGAGCAACTAAAACTGTTCACTACTGGTAGGAACACAAAATGGCATAACAACTTTGGAAAAGTATTTGACAGTATCTATTAAAGTCAAATGTACATATACTCTAACACAAAGGAATTCTAATCCTAGACAAACCCAATAGAAATGAGTGTGTACATCCATCGAAAGAGAGGTATAAGAATGTTCATGCTGGGCGCGGTGGCTCACGCCTGTAATCCCAGCACTTTGGGAGGCCGAGGTGGGTGGATCACGAGGTCAAGAGATCAAGACCATCCTGGTCAACTTAGTGAAACCCCATCTCTACTAAAAATACAAAACATTAGCTGGGCATGGTGGCGCGTGCCTGTAATCCCAGCTACGCCGGAGGCTGAGGCAGGAGAACTGCCTGAACCCAGGAGGCGGAGGTTGCGGTGAGCCGAGATCGCGCCATTGCACTCCAGCCTGGGTAACAAGAGTGAAACTCTGTCTCAAAAAAAAAAAAAAAGAATGTCCACGTAAGCGTTATTCACAATAGCCAAAATCTGGAACCACTTCAAATGGCTATGAAGAGTAAAATTAATAAATATATTATAGTATGGCCACACAATGGAATATTAAGACAGCAACAAAAAAGGAACAACAAATACTGAGTGAAAGCCAACTCTCCCTATTTAAAACAAGTACATACCACTTGATTCTATTTACAAACTTAATCTATGGCATTAGAGGTTGGAACAGCAGATTACCTTCCTTGAGGAAACACTGACTTAGAGGGGTGTGAGACAGCCTTCTGATCTGGGAAGTGATTACACATTGTCTATACGTTACTAAAAATTCAAAGCTGCGCATTTAATTACATGTAAGTTATACCTCAATAAAAATAATTTAAAAACACACCCTTTCCCTATTCTTCCAGTTTATTGAGTCTGTCAGTGAAGTTTTAGTTTGCATGTCCCTGATTATTAACGGTGTTGAAAACTTTCTCATGTTAATTGGCTCATTTCGTCTTTGTGAAGAATGTCTTCAGATCTTTTGTATACTAAAAAAAAAAAAAAAAAACTCATCTGCCTTTTCTTATTATGTGAGAATTCCTGATATATTCTAGATACTAGTCCTTTTCCAAATGTATTTGTTGCAAACATCTCCTTATTCTGTGGCTTTTTATAGGCTACATGGTTTCCTTTGGTGAAGAGCTTTTAATTTTCATTTTTAGCAAACTTAGCAATCTTTATAGGTTAGTGCTTTGGGGTCTTAAGAAATTCTTCCCTAAATCTGCAGTAATCATAAAAATATTTTCCAATAATATAGTTATATTGTTTGCATCTACATCAACAATCCACCTGGAATTGACATTTGAGTATAGTGTGATATACAGGTACAATTTCACTTTCTTTTAATTTAGATACCAACTGACTTGCCACCAATTATTGAAAAGACTCTCTTTTATCCATATGTGTCAAATGTTCATATACATGTAGGTTTGTTTCTACACACCCTATTCTGTTCTATTCATCTAGCACTGAAAGTACAATACTGCCTAGAAATGGTAAATGCAGGCATTCTTGTCTTGTTTCTAATCTCAAAACTGTCAATATTTAACCATTAAAGTATAATGTTTAATGTAGATTTTTGGGTATATTTTTACTTATATATATTTACATATACTTGGATACAGATATTAATATTGGTACAGATACTAATATAGATATTTGAGAAAGGGTTTTTTTTTTTTTTTTTTTGAGACAGGTCTTGCTCTGTTGTCTAGGTTGGGGCTCAGTGGTGTGACCTCAGTTCACTGCAGCCTCCACCTCCCATGCCCAGGCGATCATTCAATCTCAGCCTCCTGAATAGCTGAGACAAGAGGCACATGTCGCTAGGCTTGGCTGAGACATGGTCTCACTATGTTGCCCAGTCTGGTCTCACTATGTTGCCCACGCTGGTCTTGAACTCCTGGGCTCAAGCAATCTTCCCACCTTGACCTCCAAAAGTGCTGGGATTACAGTTATGAGCCACTGTGTCCAGCTAGAACAGGTACTGATACAGATATTTAAGGAAGTTCACTCCTTCTAGTTTTCTGAGAGTTACCAAAACGAAATTTGGATTTCATGAAAACTTTTCCCACATCTATTAAAATAACCATATTATTTTTTCTGCTTTTAATCTGTTAGTGTAGTGAATCACATTAATTTCTAATGTTGTCAATCCTGCTTTCTTAGATTTTCATCTAATTTATTAATAATGCATTATTCTCTTTATAAAAAGATTTTGCTACTATCATTAAGGAGTTTTGTAATCTACATTCATTACTGATTAGAAAAATTATAGGACAGTCTCTTTCAATTGAATTTCATATCAAAGTTATACTAATACTAGTTTTCTTCCCACTCTCCACATCTATTCTCTGAAAGCAGTTGTGCAAGATTGGAATTATTTCTTCATTTAATGTTTGGCAGAACTTGATATCTACTTGAATTTGGAGGCTTCTAGTTTAATTTCTGTTTGTTTTCTTGAGATGGAGTCTCGCTCTGTCGCCCAGGCTGCTGGAGTCCAGTGGCATGATCTCGGCTCACTGCAGCCTCTACCTACCGGGTTGAAGCGATTCTTGTGCGTCAGCCTCCTGGGTAGCTGGGATTACAGGTGCATGACACCAAGCCCGGATAATTTTTGTATTTTTAGTAGAGATAGGGTTTCACCATGTGGCCAGGCTGGTCTTGAACTCCCAACCTCAGGTAATTCACCCTCCTCAGCCTCCCAAAGTGCTGGGATTACAGGTGTGAGCCACTGCGCCCAGCCAATTTTCACTACTTTCTTAATAGCCTTTCTCGAAAATACTCTGTCTCTTAACTTACATAAAGTAATAAGAGTATCTTTGGGGTATTTTATTGAAGCCAAATTCCCTCCAAATGGTCATTAAGTAGCTAAGAGAGGATTAGAAACTAGGTCGTCTACCTCCATTTTCACTCTGTGACATACATTCAGACTGACTTCCACATTTTCTGAGGTTAAAGAACATAAAACAATAGCACATATTTAGGCCAGGCACCGTAGCTCACACCTATAATCTCAGCACTTAGGGAGGCTGAAAGGGGCAGATCACTTTGAGGTCAGGAGTTCCAGACCAGCCTGGCCAACATGGTGAAACTCTGTCTCTATTAAAAATACAAAAATTAGCTGGGTATGGTAGTGCAGGCTTGTAATCCCAGCTACTTGGGAGGCTGAGGTGAAAGGATTGCTTGAAGCCACTAGGCGGAGATTGCACCAAACCAAGATTGCGCCACTGTACTCCAGCCTGGGCAATAGAGTGAGACTTGTCTCAAAACAAAACCAGAAACAAAAAAGCAGATGTTCAGAATAATGAGTATTTAGATTGACAGATTGCAATCCTTTCAATCAACTAAGAAACATCTCTTATAAATATAAATATTAGGCCGGGCATGATGGCTCATGCCTATAA